ATGTGAACTAATATAGTAATGTATACAAAACAGGTCAGTGCTGTAGAAAAGGCAGCAATGTTGGCCATCACATACCATGTCCTGTGATAACTTCTTCACCTTTAGTACAATTAGCATCAGAATAACAACGAGCCATGGTGTATTGGTCGTCTTCCGGGCACATTCCTTGCTTCTGCCGAGGCGTTATTATCATGTTGGTCATCACAAAGACAGCATCATTTTCCTTAGATAGGTCATGAATATCAGTAAAATAATCAATAACATCAACACCAGATATCAGCAACAGAATCAATAACATCAACACCAGATATCAGAGATACCCTCACCAAGAACCAACTACATTGAAAATTACCTCTGGAGGTATCACATAATCTGACGAATCCCAGATCCGTGGTCCATCAAAAAGCTTGCTTGACTCTATCCCATTGCTAATGTTGACTGGGAAATTTATTGACAAATTGGTTAACGCTGTTCCTTTAAGTTTCGTTGTTACAGAGCTCAGTCCAACATCAAATGACTGATAACCTTTTTCATAGATAATAACATAGCTAAAGAAATGACAGATATATAGTTTTAACTCAATTACTCAAAGTGCTCTCTACTGATGATTAAAATCATCTTAAATTAGACAGAATGGACGCATATTTGTTTTCAATGCATGTTTTAGACGTGGAACTTTTCTGCACTATATTGAATGCAAATGAACTTAAACAAAGACCTTAGAATTCAGATCGATATCAAAACTTTCATGTCCGAGACAGGCCTGAACTGCATTCTCCTAATTTATCAAACAGGTTGCTGCAAGTCTGTGCATAAAAAACCTGCTGAAAAACGCATCTTTTCATAAAAATATGGGTCCTCGAAACACCTGTGTGCCAAAGAACAAGCATCACTTGTCACGGTTGTCACTTTTCATATCTCAAAGTTCAATTAAATTAAATAATTCAACAGAAGCAATATTAAGCACAAAACATCCATTCAGAATCGTTCATCTTTCAGAAACAATTGTGTACAATATTTTGTACAATATAAACAAGATAACCAATATATTTCCATGAATAGTTGTCTATTATTCCTTAAACAAAAGCTCCGATATTAGCACGAGCTCTTTCTTGTATATTAAAGACCCGTTCTTTTTCCATCGATTTTAGGTTTTGCTGAATGTTAACATAATTACTTAGAATTAGATCATTTTCGCAGATGACGATTGCCACGTACTTTTAATTTAAATACCACGACTGCAAATCTAAACATCATTTAAAGTGAGAAACACGACAAAAGACTGTTCTTACCCGATCACATATCCGATGATTGCAAGTTGTATTATGCGGTTGATCAAGCCAACTTTCTTGCTCTTTATATGAACAATCTTATTCGTATCATATTCAAGAACGGCAGCAGCGAAAGAGCTGCAAGCCTCGTTGAAATTCACCATTTTAAAGAAGCATTTTTCATGTCAGGAGATTAAGAATTTTGCAATCATCTTCATGAGGTCTGATCAGGTTTTATAGCTCAGTGGCTTTCTCGAGAAGGCAGGAAATTGAGACAACAGTCACGAGAGGTAACGGCCAGCGATAATCTAATCACTACTTTAAGTTACCCATCTTGAAGTGTACCACTCCACCATGTACCACTCAACCATGGTAAGGTCGAATATACCATATTTCGGTATATTCGACCCTGGTCGAATGTACCGGAAAACGGTAAACTCGACCATGGTCGAATGTACGGGAAAATGGTAAACTCGACCATGGTCGAATGTACGGGAAAATGGTAAACTCGACCATGGTCGAATGTACGGGAAAATGGTAAACTCGACCATGGTCGAATGTACGGGAAAATGGTAAACTCGACCATGGTCGAATGTACGGGAAAATGGTAAACTCGACCATGGTCGAATATACCGGGAAATGGTGAACTCGACCATGGTCGAATATACGGGAAAATGGTAAACTCGACCATGGTCGAATATACCGGAAAATGGTAAACTCGACCATGGTCGAATGTACGGGAAAATGGTAAACTCGACCATGGTCGAATATACCGGGAAATGGTGAACTCGACCATGGTCGAATATACGGGAAAATGGTAAACTCGACCATGGTCGAATATACCGGGAAATGGTAAACTCGACCATGGTCGAATGTACGGGAAAATGGTAAACTCGACCATGGTCGAATGTACCGGGAAATGGTAAACTCGACCATGGTCGAATGTACGGGAAAATGGTAAACTCGACCATGGTCGAATATACCGGGAAATGGTAAACTCGACCATGGTCGAATATACCGGGAAATGGTGAACTCGACCATGGTCGAATGTACCGGGAAATGGTAAACTCGACCATGGTCGAATGTACCGGGAAATGGTAAACTCGACCATGGTCGAATGTACGGGAAAATGGTAAACTCGACCATGGTCGAATATACCGGGAAATGGTAAACTCGACCATGGTCGAATATACCGGAAAATGGTAAACTCGACCATGGTCGAATATACCGGGAAATGGTAAACTCGACCATGGTCGAATATACCGGGAAATGGTGAACTCGACCATGGTCGAATATAGCGGAAAATGGTATACTATCGGTACACTACGAGTGAAAAAACGTCACATACTAAATTGCTTCAAACAACAGACTAAAATTAAATCTTTAATTCAAATTTCTGAATCAACATTAAAATAGCTCTGTAATTCCTAAAAATACACTCTTGTGATATGAAAAACAATTGTATATGTTTTATAATAATAATAAGCAGCATTAAAAGCTGATAAGTGACGGAAGTCTGCTTTGCAGTGTCTCTTATAAGATTAAACAATGATAGATGCAATCATAGAATGTGCTGAGCAGATGATTCATCACATATAAGCAAAACTCTGACAAATTCTATATTTTATATACGGAATCCTTAGAAAATTCAAGATGGCACAACCTATAAGAGCAAAGAGTTTCTTAAAGTTAAAAAATGAATGAAGCAAATACGTCTTGTGATTGAACTTTTCCTATGTGAAATCACGGCTGAGACGCTCGCCATGATGGCAATCAAAACATTCCTAGAGACGTGGCCTGCCAATACCTCACCTGCATGGGGTCGGATATATAAAACTCTTTTACTACACCTTGCATAGTTAAATTCTTGTTAACAAATTCTAGCCAAAAATATACAACTCTGATTGGGTATTTCTGTCCTTAACTACAGTTAAAAGTTAACTAGTCTTGCCCCTACATACAACTGGCCCCTGGTGTGGCTATACACCGTTTATTGGATCAAACTGATTCCTCGTGGAAAGACTTGCCGCTTTTTGGTGCCATTCAAAATCCAAATCAGAAATCTAACTTGTGGCACAGAATAGATATTTTCACTTTTGTTAAGTGTGTTATTTTGTGAAAATTTCCGAGGCAAAAGCTTCATGTGGCGTTCACATGTATTACACTATAATCTTGATACAAACTCAGCTTTTTTTTCAGCTTAAAGTTGGATTTTTTGTCGGTTATTGCTTTCTTATGGACAAGCTGAAGTTAACCAAGTGTGCATTGTAATGAAAAGTAAGCTAACATCACAGCGACATACCACTTCTAAATTTCCAGTCTTTCCTTTTGCGATAAACAGTTGTTCACTGTAAAGTACAATACATATAAGAATACACAAGATAAGGACAACATAGGACAAGGATAGGATAAGACAGGACATATAGGAACGGAACTGGACAGGACAGATTAGAACAAGATAGGATATAATGGGATAGAATAAAACAAGATAGAATAAAAAGAGACATGTAAAAACATGAAAACAGCAGGTCATGATGTGGCAGTGAATAAAACAAAATTGAAAACGATACGTACCCTTTAGCGAATGTTATTGTGCCCTTTTTCTCCTTGGGTAATGAATGCGTGATACTAGAAGGACAATTCAAAAACACTTGCATTTAGCACAAGCTGCTCCTTCTAATTTGCAGTGGATTGAGAGAAATGCCCCCTCGATGAAAACATTCAAGTTCAATACTTACACAATGGTTAAAATATATTTACCTTGACTGTTCAATATGAATTTTGTCTTTTTTACCGGCCGTTAGAGAGATCTGTGTGACCGTTTCAATTATCTTCGAACTCGTTAGAATCCAATCGCCCTGTCATAGAAACGTACAAATTTATCAAATTAGCAATGTCATGCTGTAATCCATAGACACACCAATGACACTAACCGAGAATATCTATGAATCACACAAATTGGCTACAAAATTGGCTACTTTGCATGGCTATATTTTCGGTAATACTTGAAATTTTGCGGCCAAACTTGGCAATTATACTAATTTCGATATGCTCTTTTTAGCTGTGCTGATTTATTTCCTTCTTGTCAACTAGATCGTAAGTTGGTCTATTATGCAAAAGGTCCATTAACAGTTATGAAACTGAGAAAAATGATGATAATCATCATTGTGTTTGTTAGGAAACAGGTACACATGTTATTATGGAACACACGTGACACATTCTTGCCCTTAGCTGTATGTAACCAGTGGTAATATTAATGGCGTTACCTTATCGCCTTTCTGTTCACAAGTTGTGTGAAGTATAAAAATATTATCGCCCAAAGAACTCACAGATATTCCTGAATAAAAAGTTCGGATAGCATGTAACGAAAAGGGTTTTGTAGTGAAAAGCAAAACATAGAAACGAGAACTGTTGTTCGAAGAAGCAATAAAAATTTTACAATACCTATTAACTCGGAATGCAAAACCTTTTCTTTAACTTTGAAATTCGATGGTTCCAGCAAGTATGTTGCCTGCATGTGCAGAAAATTCAAAATGAGGGCATAATTCTCTATCCAGTTCTTTCCTCTCAAATAGGTTATTATCCACTGCTATTAAAGGATTTCTCACGTTACCTGATTGCTGACGATGAGCACACGTGATCTTGGCTTGTAACCATGGCGATCGTATTTCACCACACCGATACAATACTAAATGATGCCATACAAAACAATTCCTCAACATTTAATCGATATCACATACTTTTTATAAAGCATGCACAATACAAGAGGGGAAAAAAAATTACGCATATAAACTTAGATATAAACTAGAGAAAACTACTTTATCTAATATTAGAGTTCCATTCCGACAACGAGATATCTGTAGTTGAAGGAATGTTTACAGTTCTCCAAGAACGACTACCACGAACACACACAACCCTAGCGCGAAGCAGAGTAAAAGCTATCTTCGTACGTAACCAGTTGAAACATTCCTCAACATTGGGTTACTTATGAAATGATCTTTCTAGACGTTACGTTGGATTCTGTTTTTGTACGTCTAAATAGTCCATTGCATAGTCCGTTCTAGTCCATTGCAAATGTTGAAAATGTCTTATCCTCACATCAAGTTTCATTTAAACGTTGATGATGACGAGTTGGATTCCTTTACCTTTGTTTCTTCAGCATTGATAAGATGATCAAAAGCACTCTTTTTCATCGCCTCTTGACTTGAGTCTAAAGATGTGATCAGATATGCCATCTTAAGTCAATAATATCCGCGTGCACGAGCTGTCTGAATGACCTGTGTGTTCAAATCTTTGATATACGCACCCAATCTGCTATATTTGAACGGTTCAGAAACACTCTCTTCGTAGCACGTTTTATTTCCTTTGAATAAATCACTAGCGGCCAATTTCATTGTAAGCTAGGAAAAGATTAGCCATTCGTCATGGGAAGAATTCTAAACTGTTCTTCCTAGAGGTCCAGTAAGGATCATCTCTTATTGATCCAGTGTTACTACAGGAGGAAACCTAAACTAAACTAACTTTATTTATACTGGATAGCTCTATCAGTTCTAAACTGTTTTTCCTAGAGGTCCGGTAAGGATCATCTCTTATTGATCCAGTGTTACTACAGGAGGAACCTAAACTAAACTAACTTTATTTATACTGGATAACTCTATCAGTTCTAAACTGTTCTTCCTAGAGGTCCAGTAAGGATCATCTCTTATTGATCCAGTGTTACTACAGGAGGAAACCTAAACTAAACTAACTTTATTTATACTGGATAGCTCTATCAGTTCTAAACTGTTTTTCCTAGAGGTCCGGTAAGGATCATCTCTTATTGATCCAGTGTTACTACAGGAGGAACCTAAACTAAACTAACTTTATTTATACTGGATAACTCTATCAGTTCTAATAGCTTACCTGTGCCTTTCTCTCGGCTGATAGACCGCGGACATATTTCCTAACCATTGCACGAGTGTGCAAGACATGAAGCAATTCTGATGCCTGGAAATTTAAAGTAAAACTTCAAAAGTTTTTTCTCGGTTTTTTTTTAAACATAAGGTGAGCTTTTTGTTGTTGACTTAGTGATTTTATGATTTTACGTCGACCTACAGTATATACCTCTTTGACAGCTGGCGGTGGTGGAGGGTGCCAGGATTTGTCCAACACATTCTTTGGAAGGTTCTTAGCCAGTTCTACAAGATACCACTTTCTCGTGCAACATATGAACTGTGAAAAATATCGCATGACAAGGTTAATGGGTGCAGTGTTTTTTTACATGAAAATATGGTATGGTATGGTATGGTAGATGTGGTATGGCATGGTATGGTATGGTATGGTACGGTACGGTACGGTACGGTACGGTACAGTATGGTACGGTACGGTATGGTATGGTATGATGTGGTATGGTATGGTATGATGTGGTATGGTATGGTATACGGTATGGTATGGTATTGAATGGTATGGTGTGGTTTTTGGTAAGTGCTCTGTATGCCATGCTATAGATCACACTCACCCAGGCATTCTCTTCATTTGCAGGTTCATTACGCGTCATAAAACCTTTGATAAACCTATATATATAGTTAAGACAACATCAAGCCTAGAAACCATCTCAAAACCACTCCTCCATAGACGGCTAGGAGAGGACAAGAAATCGTGGGGAACACCAAAGCTACATGAGAAATATCAGGAAGAATACACAAGCTTTATGAAGACCAATATGGATTGGGATCCCCCATTTTACATTCAACCCTCCTGCATGCAGTTAAAAGGAAATCTCATCCACGCGATCGCAAATTTTGAGCTATTTCTTGTTTGACAAATCAACATACTTTCTGATAGCCGCAGCCGCTCGCTTTCGTCTTTCTCTGAGTCTCTGAGCACACAATCTGCGCCAGTGAGCAGCGATGACAGTGACCGCCATTCTGATGATCTGGTAATTTTTCTTCGCGCTGTAACCACGGTATCGCGTCTGGATCACAGTCGCTACAACAAAAATACATCGCACGGTTTGCACCCATTTTGTAAACCCGCGAATTTCACAATCTAGCAGGGCCCAGCATCACCCTGCGACAAAGCATTGCTCTGGGAGACAACAAGTTCTTCTGTCCATGCACGAGACACGGTGTTCTTTTTATTAAAGGCTAGTTTCCACTCAGGAAAATTATCCTTTGGATCGGACAGGACAGGAAAGTTTCCTTTGTATAAACGCCGCCTGAGAACTCGCCGACAAAGGAAATTTTCCTGTCCGTTCCGATCCAAGGGAGATTTTTCCTGAGTGGAAACTAGCCTTAAAAGTATAATACTGTCACGTTACAGGATTCTGTATCTTTCCCAAACAATACTACGCCAAAGGAAGAGGACAGAGTATACCTTCCCTGAAGTGAAAGGGGTAGGGGAGGGAGTGAGGCCCTCACTACCCCCTCTCCCCCACATAAAGACATCGCCCATCTTCCTACCTAGATAGTGTTTTTTGTTTTGGAAGAGGTCCTCTGTGGCAAACAGTGTCTGAGGATTTCGGATGAAGATCTTCGTCCTGGTTTGAAACGGTTGAAGAAACATCAGTAAGAAGGATGGTAGGCCTTGATTTCATCACAACATCGAGCCATTCATTGCGGCTTCGAAATTCTTCGAACATTCCTACCTTCCCATCTTATATTCGTCTTGTTTATAGCCCAAATGTTCGCATAACTTTAATACGCCATCCTCAGGTTTTCCTTTGAAAAATGAAAGAAATTCCGTTAACTTATTAAATGACGATGCTTCCGACTGTGTGCTAAAAAGTCAGTGCTAGTGGAACATTGGGCACGTCTAAAACGATGGCTTTAGCGGTATTGAAAGCAGATTTTTAGTTGCACATACCATCCCAAATAGGCCAAGTATCAGGACACAGGGCTTTGTACCTTGAAAACAAGAACGCATAAACATGACTGGAGTCGAAATGGAATGTGTACAGACAGTACAGTGAATTGTGTGAGGTTGGACAGCTAGCTTTTAAGCATCAAGTCAGCCAGCTACAGGCACCGAACATTACCACGAACTACTTGTCAAAAAGAGCTGCAGAAAAGCAATGCAAGGATTCCGAGTTTTACCTTTGAAGAAAAACTTTATGGTTTCTTCTATAAGCGAAACCAGCTCTTCTCACTCGAAGGTTCTCCATCAGACCCAAATACTTAACTTGATGATGAATTAACTTCTCGTCGAATGCAGCTAAACGAATCGAAATATTACTAATATACACTGATTGACTGGCTTTTAGTGGATCTCGTTCGATTGAGCTTATTGGGGAAGATGTTCAGTGGATAGAGAGAAGCTACAATGTGATGGCAATCTTTCAATTGCAATTATATGCATGGAACATGTTGCTTACTCACTCACCTGATCGTTTAGAGTCGTTCGGTTTAATACAACGAACGTATGAAGGTTGTTTTGATAGTAAAATCCCCATGAGATTGTTCAGACTTGTTTTAAACTGAGTTGCCGCCTACGAGAACGAAATAAATGTTGTTCACGTTTAAAAATAAGGTCTATCTTCATTTCTGCGACCTTGTGCAAAATGCGCGGCCCAACCAATTACGTTGCACTTCCGCTCAGACCAAAGTCAAGCCAGAAACAGTTGCATGAGAAAAATCATCAAGGTCTTCCGGCAGAATTGAACATATACGCTTTCATTTGCGATGCCCGTGGCAAGCTCTGAGCAATAAGGTGTTAATTTGATGATAAACTTACCGTTCCAGGACGTTTCTTACACGCCATTTCACTCTGAGGAAAGGCACTGGATGTAATCGTGTTCTTACTGAGTGACATCGCCTAGATTAGATATACAATAAACCCACTCTATTGTTTTTTTCATTATGGTAACAATGTTTGTGTGAAATTTGTGTACGTGCCGCGTGAAGGCCCTTAAGGTAACTAGTTCTTTGTACCTCTTTCAAGTCTCTGTAGAGAGGATCGTTATTCTTGTCAATAAAACCTGAGAAATAAAAATATATTCACATGTATACCGGGTCGTCAATGGATGGGTTTTGCCCGTAATCCTAGTGTATATCTGGAGTACGAACGTAGCCAAAAGGTAATGTTTAGTTAATCCTAAATAAACGAATTTAATTCCTAATTAACGTTAGGAATAGGTTAGATTTAGGATTATGGTTAATCCTAATAGACTATAAACTTAATCATAGGCCTAAACCTAACCTAAGGATTAAGTTGCGGGTTTGTTAATATACATAGAGTAACATGAAGTAACATGACTGTGAACGAAGAATTCGATTATTGATATACACATGACTTCTTTGCTGTGTACGTCTTTGAAAAGGAAAACCGTTTCCTATTGAAATGAAGCAAACTACCTACCTAAAACACTATAGGTTACATCCCCAGCATAATGTTTCAACCGGAACTCCTGCAATATGCGAGAATAACACATTAATATCTCCCTTTAGTAGCCAAGTGTCGTTGTGTGTCTAAAACAGACTTTGTTCAGGCATGACACTTTGATAAGTTACTAAATAAAGTTCAAAGGTTTCAACAAGAGTTTCACAAGCGTTCGACCAATGAGATGTTTGTCATGCTAAAAACTTTTGACCAATCAGGTATTGGAACTCAAAAGTTCTGACCAATCAGCAGAGGGAGTGAAAAGCTTTTTACTTACCTCGCGTCCTATGTCTTTTCTGCCCTCATAATCTGACATCTCGTGGCTAAAATATTTCAAACAGAAATCAGTAAAACTTTGATTCAAAAATGGGTCATCCACATTCAAAGAAACCGTTTGATCTTTAGTATATTATGAATTAAGTAAAATTCTTACAAGACGATTACAAATCTCAATAAACAAACAATATACTACACAATTAACAGCTTCAACAGGAAATAAGCGAATGCGTTCGCAGGCTGTACCAGGATAGACCTACCAGACAAAATGTTCATGGTTGCCAATGGTGGTGATCAATTTTGATAAAAATGTCATGTCAGAAACCTCGCCAGGTCTTAAACATTCTTCATCCTGTCAGAGAAAACGATTATGTTAATCTGACATAATGATTATTCTTTAGGGTCTAAGCGGGTCATCTCTTATTGATCTGGAGGAAACCTAAACTACCGGATAGTTCTATCAGTTCTAAACTGTTCTTCCTAGAGGTCCAGTAAGGATCATCTCTTATTGATCCAGTTATTACTACAGGAGGAAATCTAAACTAAACTAACTTTATTTATACTGGATAGCTCTATCAGTTCTAAACTGTTCTTCCTAGAGGTCCAGTAAGGATGATCTCTTATTGATCCAGTGTTACTGCAGGAGGAAACCTAAACTAAACTAACTTTATTTATACTGGATAGCTCTATCAGTTCTAAACTGTTCTTCCTAGAGGTCCAGTAAGGATCATCTCTTATTGATCCAGTGTTACTACAGGAGGAAACCTAAACTAAACTAACTTTATTTATACTGGATAGCTCTATCAGTTCTAATTATCTTCGTTTTATTCTACAGAAAATGCCCCGTAGCAAAAGCCATAGCTTTAAGTTTTTCTCACCAAAACTGCAATTATTCCTTTATGTTTCTCCTCGATCAAGTCACATATAATCTTATTATTAAAGTACTCCACTGGTTCCCACTAAAAAGTAAACGTAAAGTAATACAGTTAGTCAAGTTAATAAAGATGCGTTATTCATCCCATAGCTTGAACCCGCCGCATACGAAAGCTATCAGCTGAGCTAACGACCTCGCGAGGCAGTTAGCTCGGCCCGAAAAACTATCCGCACACGTGAGAAACTTGCCTCTCGAGGCGAATTCCTCACGAAAACTAGGTCTTTAGCTCAGCTCTCGTGTGCGGCGGGCTTTAAAAAGATTTCAGCTGAACTCTATAATAACATTCATGCACTGGAATGATAACGTGGAGAGGTGATTGAGGTCAGGGGCAGGTTGTATCAAGCCCGCGTTTAATTTAAACGGTGGTTAAGTTCAAAATAGAAATCAAAGTTTATCGTTTTATTCAACAAGCAAACTACATGTTTTTAACCTTAATACAAAGATACTGCATTTTTACAACTACATATTCAGTGCATAATATTCAAATTGACTCATTCAAGAGAGATGTAAGAGTGTTTTTTAATTTTGACTTATCAACCGTTTAAGCTAAACGGGCTTGATACAACCGGCCCCAGATGCTCGGTCTGGAAAATCTTGAAAGCAATGAGCATGAACTAGTCAAAATGGATTTTAACTTCGCGCAAATTATAATACATCAACTTAAATTTTTTCTAGGTAATGAACTCGAAAGAATTGATTTCTTCCGTCCGGTCTGCGAGGGTCTAATTTCCTATTAAATCTTAGTCTCGCAGATAGACGCCCCATTGATTTCGTATGAAAGCCAATGGTCACAAGACACAAATATTCAGATACATTTTTAAAAGCGTCAGCGAATTGGTACGAATTACAGGAATCTAAAAATTTACAGCCGGCGTCATTTGAATATGAACAAGCTGAACTTAGTTAAAGAAAGCGATATGACGTCGGATTATTCTCTAATTTCTCTTGGATACGACGAGACCAGATTTCAAACGCAGGTAAACAATAATTTTTGCTGTGGAATATGCGATAACGTAATGAAAGATCCCGTGATGTGCCGCAATCAACATGGCTTTTGTCGCGGGTGTATCACGATTCATCTTCGAAAGAATTCCCAAACATGCCCAATCTGCCGTGACGAACTCACTGCCGAGACTTTGACCGAGGCTCCGAGAATTGTAAAGAACTATTTGAACGAGCAGAGCATTCGATGCAAGTATTTCGACCGAGGATGTCAAGATATCGTTCAATTGGAACGTTTAGAAGGACACGTCGCCGAATGCGGATTTGCGCCAGTCGTTTGCGGAAATGAAGGTTGTGGTGAGACGATAAATAAAAGAGATCGCAGGTATCACGAGGGAGAACTCTGCCAATACAGAAAGTTGATATGTGTTAATTTCGAAGAGCTCACTGCGATGATGGCGGACATGAAAACGAAGATGGCTGACCTTGACACGAAAGTTGGAGTCGTGAACGCAAAACTTGAGAAAGTGGACACGAGACTTGCGAACACGGACACGAAAACGGCGTGTACCCAATTTGAGAACGCAGACACGAAACTCGCGAACTTGGACACGAAAGTTGACGTCATGGGAACGAAACTGGAAGTCATGGGCACGAATGTGGAAAACCTTCAGCAAAACGTTAACGCAAAGTTCGGACAGATGAACAATGACATGGAAAGAATGAGGACAAATTTAAACGAAGTTAAAGAAGGATTTGACAACTTCAAAGAAGCAGTAATTGAGAAGAAAGAGAGAAAAGACAACGCGGAAGTGGATGGTGCAAACGATGTCGATGACCAAGCAAATGGCGAACGTCGTATACTTGTTGCTGGTGGTTTTGGATGCGATTCGGTAGAAATGTTCAACTACAGTCGTAGACTATGGTCCACATTAAAGCCCATGACAAGAGATCGAGAAGGCGCGTCCTCGTTCGTTTACAATAATCAAGCGACTGTAGCAGGAGGTTCTGATGAGGAAGGAGCAATGGATAGTATGATAAGCATTGGCATTCATCCCATCCCTGATGCCTCAATTGACTGGGGTCACGTCGTCGCCAAACTTCCTACTGGGATGCACGCACAGAGCAGTGTGGTGTACAACGATAGCTTGTTTGTTATCGGCGGTTACGATAGCGACCAAGGCAACGTTTCCAACCGTATTTACGAAATAATGCTCGAACCACCTCACAGAGTTGAACAGGTATCAACAATGCCTGAACCAAGGGTATATCATGGAACGGAACTTTGTGATGGCAGTATTTATATTTTCGGGGGAGGAAAGTCTGGAAGATGCAGGGATAACATGAACAGTGTGTTGAGCTATGACATCGAGACGACAGAAGCTCAACGGTTACCAGCACTTCCCTACCAAGTGGGTCGAATGGCGACAGTCAAATGGGGTGAGAATGCCGTAATAATTGGCGGGGTTGACAGAAATGGTAGAAGTTTAAACAGTGTTGTAATTTATAACATGAAAACTGGAAAGTTTTACATGTTACCTCCCATGCTTCGGAAAAGAGATGGGTGTACGGCAGTTGTGATTGAAAACACCATCGTTGTTTTGGGGGGAGATGATGAAGCGGGAAACACATTGAAATCAGTCGAAGGTTTCAACTTCGGAAGCTACAGTTGGGAAGAACTTCCTGACATGAACGAGGCAAGAATGCTGGCAACAGCTGTTGTGTTTTAGACATTTTTACGTACGCTTTTTCCACGAAATATTTTTATGGCAGATAAAGTTAGAATGATTTCAAATCAACGAGGGTTTTGAAAAGATTCATCTTCCTTTCTCATAACGACACGTCAAACACGAAGAGTCCGATGTTACACGAAGTTTGATTGGCTCCGCAAAACTGACGAGCCAATCGAACATCGTGTAACATCAGATTTCCCACGCAACGTCATTATGAGAAAGCTCTATTGAATTTACTATGGTTTTAATGCGAATATCTTATTGTGAAACTTAATAAATCATTGATTTTTCATATAAGACCAAGTCAATCACACAGCTAAATAGCATTTCGTAGTTACCAATCCTTGATTCATAACAACAACAGACTCATGAATACACCTTATATAAGCTTCAGATGCAGCGAAATGTTCCAACTTTAATATTATTGCAGCAGGAAGATTTCAAAAGGCATACTTTCTCGTGACATCCGTGCTGTGTATAGTTATATGCATGCAAACACAAACGAAAGACAAACCTCGATGCCTTCTCTCATGTATTCCTCCTGTTCCGATTTCAAAGTCAGCTCAATGAAAAGTTGTTGGAGTTTTTCATTGCAGTAGTTGATGCAAAATTGTTCAAATCTACAAATTACGGAACGGAAAATTTAGTAAAGCTTTCGACATTCAATGAATAACTTAAATCCACATCCTAAATATCACCCACGACAAACGGTCTTATATGAAAAGATAACCAATGAAAACATGAAAATGCAGTGGCGTAGCCAGCCTGACGATTTAGTCATGCTATGCAAATTTTATGTTATTATTATTATTCATTTCTTTAGAAATTCATTGTTTTCACAGTCAATGAACACCAAAATACTAGCATAGCATGACTAAATTGTCGGGCTGGCTACGCCACTGCGAAAATGTGATTTTCACAGTTTCCACCCGAGATTTGAAACTAATCTAAACTAAACTAATTGCGCTCTCACGATATCTTGTTTACTTCATGTTTAGTCGATTTAGTTTCTATTTGTTCATTTTACTTTATGTCGATTGTCTTTTATATTCAGATATTGACTATTCAAAGGTTATGATCATTACCCGTTTTCGTCGAAAATCTCAAAGCCATATATATCCAGAATACCAAGCAAGGATGTCTTTCCTAAATATTTCTAATAATAAACCAACAACGATATTAGCAATTATATCAACTTCTCATATATCTCAAAGCAAAGTTTTTAACAACTTTTTTACTTCAACAACTTGAAGAAGATAGTTTTACAATCAAACTTTCCTAGTGACTATCACATTCAGCATATTTCCAACTCTTTCCAGTTGCACCGTTGAACTTTCCCTGCTTCAAAAATTTGTTTGACCGTGGATTGATGCCCCACTCCAGTTACTGACCTTGCTTTTGAGAGCTGTGTTCAAACGAGCCACAAGCCACGAGAACAGCCTTTCGTAAACGCCTTTGGAAAGCGCATCTCTCGCGTACGCGGCTTGTTCCATCGTCAACAAAGTCTTCACCTACACGAGACGAGACGAAAGATTATACACAGAACCTCAATAATGTTAAAAACTATTAATGAGTTTTAGGGACTTTGTAAGCCTGGAATATCCTCCCATATTCAAGTACTTTAAAGGATTTTGTAAGGGACACACTGATACTGGTACACCCTTTCTTCCGAGGCGATTCCGCTGTACGCAGGTGAACGCAGTAAACTCTTACAATGAAAGCAAATTGTAAAGTGAACTTATAAGGCGATCTTACACTATGCAATTTGCACTGCAATTCTACTCCTGAGGCATCTAAAGTTGTGAAATACGAACATTTCTCACGATCTGCTAACGTTTCCGTAGCATTTCGAACACTCTTTACAAATTACCATCCCTCAAAATTATAACCGCACTGCAAGTTGCAACCCCGCATACCTTTTCACCTTTCACGTCAACGGAACGATGTCTGAAGGCTTTTTCCAGTGCTTCCTCAGGGCAACCAAGCAACTATAAACAAAATGAAGTTTAAAAACAGAGTTATCGCAATTCCAATTTACACATACATGCAAAAAGACGTTTATTATAAGAATCACTGTATTCTCGTACCTTCGTAACGATCTCCACGTCTTTGTTATCGATCAGAGCTACGCCGCCATTGGCAATCTTGAACTCAATATTGCCGACGTGAAGGATGGAAGCGACGATGGCAAACAGATCGTTCTGTTCCTCGCTTGTGAAGTCGATCACTTTTAAAGCTTCTTTCACTACCTGAAAGCCTCCTCTGTCGGTCAAGTTTCGTATGACGGAAATATCAGCCTGATTGGAAGAAAATTGTGAAGATCTTTAGCATGCATTTTGTACCAAATTGATGGGGAGCTATCATGAAGTAGATTCACTGCAGTCTTCACCTTCGACTAAACTAGGTTATCAATAACGTCTGTGCAAATCGGTTCTATCATCATGCATGAAACGGCACGATTGATTAAACTGTTCGTTTCTTAAGTAATTTAACTTGAAGGTACACCACGTAAGTATTTAATACTGCAGAGCTTTCGGTCCGTTAACCTGGGCGTTCATCAGTGCAATAATTAAATACCTACAAGCTAAATTACTTATCGACTGTCACCATGAAAACATACAAGAATATTGTTCGTTTCTTATTTATCAATCAGTTTGTCTACGATGTTCTCCCATTAAATTCCAGCCACAACCATGCATGAGCTCTTCACACAGGTCAATTGTCGGACATGCACCGCATGCATGGGCTACCTGTACCTGATTCAAGTACTTGTAGTTGGCTGGATCTCGGGTCAACTGTAATCTTTCCAGTTCACTGTCATCAGCTCCACGGAGGAGTTGGTAAAATATGTGGAAGTTTTGTTCGCCTGTAAAAGGAAAATAAAAAGACCAATTCGCAAAAAAATCTTGTATCTCATTTCAAAATATAGCCTTGGAACGGTTACAAAGTCACCGTTAATCGTATATTTTCATATTGACGCAAAAAACTGTAACCTAAACTTGTACCGGTTATGGATTTGCCTCGCAATACAAAGTAGAGACGTCCTAAATTGTCTCCTGGGGCCGGTTGTTCAAAAGGCATTTAGCTTAAACGGTGGATAAGCGAAAGTTTAAAAATACTCTCATAGAACTTGTGAATGGCTGAACCTGTATCTTATGCATTAAATATGTGCTTTCATTGACAATTAAGCTATTTACATCGAAATATTTCAGCTCAGTTGTTCAATAAATATATAGTTTTGCTTTCCATTTTGAACTTATCCACCGTTTAAGCCAAACGCCTTTCGAACAACCGGTTCCTGGCTTGCAAAATGGCTTTCTATGGCCCGCTTCAGACGTCGAATTGAGTGAAAATGAACTTAAACAAAGACTTTATCCTTACCATTAGGTTCGACGTCTGAAACAGGCCTAAATATAGAACTGGATAGAAAGACTTCGCATGCTTTACCTTTGCACTGATGCACAACACGAGATTTCTCCAGCAGGTAGTTGATTATGTGACCGCCAATGGGCGAGCCCTGGAAAATGCGAGATCGGCAAATTTTAGCACTGAAATATCGCGATCTGAATCCACAAAATGCCGTCAAGACAAACCTTAAAATCAAACTGGATATCCATATACTTTCCAAAACGACTGGAGTTATCATTTCTGTTCGTCTTAGCATTTCCAAACGCCTGAAAAGATATAGGTATGTTATGTTTATATATAATACATACACGCTGAAATAAATCGGTTGAATATGGTTATTCAGGAATGTACGGATAGAACAATATATCCTAATGACTAAATTCATACAGTTAGTCAGAAAGATCAGCCGCCTTTTACCAATCAGCGCTTAGAAGGACTGTAGAAATAGAAATCCATTCTCTCAGTATTTAATCGATTATATCTTTCGTTTTTTTTATGAATTAGTCGAAATTTTGTGATTACGTTTAGTTATAAGAAATATATCTCTGACATAAATTTGAAACCGAAATAAAGTATTTTTCAAGAGATATAAGTTGTTTCAAGCTTTTTCCCGCCATTTCAAAAACTAGATATAAGTTACCTCAAGAAGCGGATTGGACTTCAATAATTATCTTTGACTCGCTCAACTTCAGAAGAGTACGGGCTAATCGCAGCAAGGTACTGGAGAATTTTCTTTGACGCTTCTATAAAGATCAAACAGGTTCACTGAGTTGATTGTGATTATCGGGTGTTTATCGTGATGATAATCGATTGAAGATATCAAAGAACATTATTCATCAGTGATCGACTTACCAGTTTTTCCGGAACCAGATTCACCCGATATCAGCACGCATTGATCCAGGCGTTCCTCTTTCATCGAGTGATATGCAGCGTCAGATATCGCATAGCTAGACGAAAAATTTTGCGAGTTATAGATCATATTTGGGTCACAAACCAGGGCATCCCACTGTAGTGATAAGCGTGACAAGTTACCTAGATTTGATTTTACTATTGCTAAATGTACGTTAAAACCCGTATTTTGTTTAATCGCAAGGTTTTTCTCACGCTAAAGATTCTGATCGTACGAAAAACGTTCTTTTCTCACAAAAAGGTTCTTTTCACACGCGTGAAAGGTTCTAATTGAATTTTTCCCACGCTTGTTACATTTTTTGCAACACTTATCTTTGCTACATTTTGGAATACTTTTGCTACATTTTGAAGCGTTCTAGAATGCAAAACTGTTACTTTGATCTGTTCTAAAGAATAAAACTGTTTTCGACAACTAAAGGGCACATTTGAAGACAGATTTATGCTCGTGCGAAGTTTTTCTTGCCACTATTACGCATTTCTTGTATGGGGATAAATAAAATTAATCAGAAGTCCGTTTTATTTGACTTGCAGGCTTGCAGCCTATGTTAAAAGTACGATTTCTATTATCAGACGGCCGGCTCCTCGTATAGCTTTGTTATTTTATACTAACACATTTGAATTGTCCGAAAATGAACTAACCACAAAGCCTGATCGACAGATCAAGGTACTGTACGCTGCATAAATTACAGCTGATTAAATACTTAAGCTGAAAGCATAACCCACTTTGTCAACATGAAACTAAAGTTTTCGTTTCGGAAAAGTAGCGGTCTACGCAAAGACCAAAAACATTAAAATTTTTGCCGTTTTATTCTATTATTAATAGAGTCAATTTGAATATTTCGTATTCACGTTAACATCGGCGCCAATATGAAAGTGGTTTCTACTTGGTAAATATCCCGTTAAAACAGGAAGGATTTTAATATCAAGTGTGGCTGAATAGCAGCCTTACCATTTTTGGTTGAAAATAGTCGAATGTACTTTGAAGCATATTTATCTACTGCCATTTAAAGTAACAGAATATATTGCAATTGAGAATTTTAAGACGGCTTAGTTTATGATAAACCCTACAACAGAACCGTACAAAGTTTATGATAACCGTAAGACAATCACAAAACATTGAGTAAGTAATTATAATTTTTTGACCTGATATTTTTACGAAACCGAAAAAAGAAAGTTTACAAACACAGTTACACATATTGTTTATGCAACTAAAAGATGACGTCTTTCTAGTTTCATTTTAAAAGGTTAACAGCTTTACTTGTAGGGTTTCTGCAATTTGCTGATGCGACTTAAACCGTTCTCAAACGGAAATAGGACTACCCATACTGATCAAATTAATTTGGCCATAAATGGAATTATGGAAATGCTATACTTTGCAGGATATTATGTGAAAAGCGTTACAGTGTGGTTGCACAACTACAATATCAACTGCTGAGTAAAATTGTTTGGTTTCGAGCGAAATATGGCGTGAGAAACTTATGTGAATTAGAGTGTCGTTAGAGCGACTTGAGATGGACGCTCTCAAATGCTTTCGCAAACCAATTTCTGATGTGGCCTTTGCGTCAAAAGCAAACATCGCCTATTGCTTTGGACATTTTAAGCTCTGTTCACACGATCCAATTTTGTTGGATCCAATTCACTTCTGACGTATGAAATATAGTCGGTTATTGATAAAGCAGTACTGCATTAGCTTCAGTGGATTTGCTGCTCGTATAACCTTACAAGACAACAGACTATAAAACATCCATCAGAAGTGAATTGGATCCAATGTGAACAGACCTTTAGGCCACACATATATGGAAATAACGAACCTTGACCATATCTTTCATTCCTGTCATCATTTGCCCCCAATAACAAAACACCCACTCGTGAATGACATTAAAAATTGAATATCTCTCGAACAGACATAAGCAAGAAACACCCATATTGAATTTCCCATTCATACAACACTGACAAATACAAATGCTTCCCCTGAACGAGGTCAAACAGATTAGGTCAAAATGTTTAAAAGGCCTTGAAAAATATGAGCAAACTTCGATACTTTGTAATCAACAAAACGATTAAACATCAAAACTTAATCCTAACGCGGAAAATGTATCTGTTTAGTATACACAATTACATCCCAATTACTCTATAAACATTTTCAGTGAAAGAAAGCAGACAGTCGCATAAAGATTGGATAATTCGAGCATGAAATACGCCGTTGTTTACATGTTCTTATCTTCGCAATACCTAAATACTTTAAATGCAATATTTAAAGCTGAAATGATGATAATTATTTACTTACACATGGGGAGGCAGTTCATACAAATTAACGCCTCTGTATTGTTCAATTGTTTCATTTGTATATATCGTTAAATTCTTGTAGGGATTTACAGAAACGACCACGTTTCCAATATAAGTCTAAGAATAGATAAAGCACACAATATTATTACATAGTTTGTGGACATTCACAGCGGGGTTTGGAGTTCAGAGGAGTGTTTTATTATAGGCTGTACTTGAAGGCTATTCTTGACCGGCGCTTTTTTACCAACGAAACAAACCGTTTATATTATCGAGTTTATCAAGTAATCTTTGTCATATTGTCGCTTATATAATAATACAGAAGTTTGTCAATTGAATACCGGTAACCTTATAAAAAATATTTGAACATCGTAGCCAGCGAATAAGTGAATAGCTCGCAATTTATACATTTTCAATTTCACAACCTAGCCGTCCCAGCGGTGACAGGTTTTTATATTTATTATTCAATAAATTTGTATATTTTCGACTCGCCTCGACATTGTAAAAGTAGAAAAAAAAAGCCTTAAATTTTGCCGTGTTTGTTTAGATTAGGAGATATACCACAAGCTAGTTTGACATTATTATCAAATCATTAGGCATTGTTGTGTGAAATTGAATTGTATTTCGTTTCTTTGACAAGCTGTAAAATTGACAAGGGTCTATCTTTACTTACATATATCAGATCGGCTTGATAGCGCTTTCGCAAATTATCCACAAAGGCATTGGGGTTTTTGAAATCCTCTAAAAGGACAAAATCCTGAACGCCGACCCGATCTCGGGCATGTAGTTGATTTTCCATAAGGTTTCGTTATGTTTACAAGGCACTGCCGTCTCTCCACCTAGCTCTTCAGAAACTCTTCCAAAAATCTACAATCGTACGAGAAATCTATGCCCGAAGAACCTGGATAATACACACAGCATGTAGTTCAATGTATGTTGTTCAAGCCGAGTATGTTTTAATTAAACTTTCGCATATTTTGACTGTTTTAATCGCCGACTGGGAAAGCAATTATGTTGTTGTATATTTCTTCATATATTTCTTCAGGATACGCGATTTCCGGTCCTTGACTTCCGACTACGTCATGTCCGCCGTGCTCTTGAATCCAAGATGGCCGCAGAAAAGGTGTCAAAAAACATCGAAGTATTTTGGCATTTTCTCCGCGATTCTTTCGCCGATGCGTACGAAAACGCCGGCCAGTTGTGGAGCGTTAGCGACTGGCAAGTTCGTGTTTGCTTCATACTCGCGGCAATGCTGCTTTTGAATGTAATTTTGATCGGGATTTCCTGGCGTGTATACGGTGGGGTGATCTCACAAATGTATAGCACAAAGGCAAAAAGAAGGAGCTCTGTTTTAATACGCACTCTGAACGATGAAAGCGGAAAGGAGTCGAGAAAGAAAACGGATTGAGACTGCGCTTGAACCAAAATGCAGTGATTGCCAGTACAGGCATGAGGCATCCTACGACACAACTTCTTTCAAGTCAGGCCCTACAAAATGGCTTGTGGCATGGCTATAATAAAAGCGTATTGCCAGGAACTCTGGAACACATCGATAGATGCAGAAAGTCACTCAGAAAAAGGCTTAGAGATGGGAAATTAACCCCGTGCACAGTCCTTTGCCAAGACATATTTAAAGAACGTCAAACGTCGATATAAATATTAGATTCAATAAACTGAATGACAATATTTTCATATTGAGTATTTGAAAACATTAGCAGTAACAGTACCTTGAACGGTTTCAAATACAATTAAGGTCAGACAAGTCAGATCCAATCGATCACAATCGAATTTTCTAATAAACTTTGTATCATATTGAAGAGAATGTCAATTTTTTAAAGGTAGAAAAAATGATTTGTTGAAATGGTCAGTTGAGCATCTATAGCTACTATTGTCTTTTCTTTTTTGGTGCGATTTTATAAGCCCCAATCAATCCATGCGCAAATCGCTAACGCGACGCGGATTTTCAGTTTTCAGAAGGGAATAAATATGTTCAATATCTGTCGCGTTGGCGAAACACGTGGGCCTTAACTTTAGCTTGTTTTTTCCACTTACGCGTTTTTCATACGCACGTACACGCACGTAAAAGTCTAAATCCTTACACCTGTCTGAAACCTTTGAAAAAACTAAGTGAATAAATCGAAGGAACTTAGTTTTCTGCATATTTTAGTACGCATTAGTTGACCTAGATGTTCAATGATAAAAATTTAAAGGCATTTAAAATTTTCCGTACGTGTACGTGCGTATAAAAAACGCGTACGTGGAAAACAGCCTTAACGCTGTAACCGATTCCTTACCACTGTCACGTTGTTATCACGTGTAAATCAGGAGCGGAATTAACGTGGGACCTGACAGAAACTAGCACTTTGCCATATAGTTGTCACTATTACCTCAAAACATGTTAGTAAATAAATGGCGAAGTAGTAAATTTACTTGAGGATATAAGTAAATTTCCCAAGAGGATTTGGTAGGGGGTGCTGACACCGTGCTTTTGAGCAGTGATTCATAACTGTCATGAACACATCGAACAGACTGAACGTTACTATAAGAGATTTTTGATATTTTGTTAATTTGTCTATAGCCAATAAATATTACACAAATATTGTCTCTATAAAAAATGGAAATAGTTTGAGAATTTGATTTCGATTGATTTCAGACCTTTTCGATTCTTTTATCAATATTTTTATAAAATGACAATTGTATTTGTCACTTGTTTTTCGTTGAGCACGTTGTTTCGTCTGGCATACGTAAACATTTTTAAATATTAGTTTTTTAAAAACTACTTTAAAATAAATATTTTACATTGAGGTTAGTTTTTATCGATGTATGCATATTCTATGAGTTTAGCTCAGATATATTTTGCCAATATTTATTATTGTGCTAGACTTGTCATCTTGCATTTCACCGTAAGTGTAAGATTTGTATAAAATACTTTCAGTTATGTTGGGGGCTGTTGACATGAGCCTGGTTACCCGAGATTCAACGAAGCGTGAGATAATTTTGAGGTATTGAAATGAGCAGATAACATGATCCTGGCAGTCGTATAATCACCACAACAATAGCATGTGCTTGTTTGGTGTCATAAAGACTTATTTCAATACCTCAAAGTCCTCTCACGTTTCGCTGAATCTCGGGTAACCGGGCTCATGTAAACAGCCCTTTAGATAAAGTTATTCTGCCTTCTGTGAGCTGTTTTGATATTTCGCTTTTTATGAAACGTGCTGATAGATATTGAAAACGCGGAAGTCTTTTCAAAAGGGGGGTGGGTGCATGGCTCGTCTGCTCATGCCCCTCTATCATTCCTTTTGACTTTTGAGCGAACCTTTTGTTGACAATATATGCCGCTGGTCATTGTCACAGCTCGAGGTAGGCCAAAGCCACTTGTTTCCTGGCTATGGCGACAGGAGTCCTTACCTCATTCGATGCATTTGGTGTAAATATTTTCGGAAAGCCATCATCTCGACTGCAATTTGTGGTGCAAAAATGATTTTCCAATAATGAAACCTTTCTCTTGGCCAGTATTCACCCTATAAAGAGTCTAATATCTTCTTTACATCAGGGTTCACCTATACATGAAATTGAAATGATTTTCACACATGTGCATGCATCCAGACGAAAAAAAAAGCTGCGTGGCGAAAAAAAAGCTGGCAATCTCTGTGATAGTTGTCATAGTAAAAATGGGGGAATTCCGGTAGACTTCAATGCGTCTCTATAATGAGCTAATGTTTGATGTTGAGACAACTTCGTCTCGCCAATCATTTGAAGTTTAACCTTCAAATATTCATGTTTTGATATCTTAAAAGCAGTATAGCCCAGTTTCTACTCTCAAATTTTACAAAGGCAAATCCTAAGTTCTGAAGGATCTAAACTATTCACCTTAATTCCATCAAGTTTCCAGCTCAGAGCAAAAAAGTCTGCAGATTCGATGATCTCTTTCTGCCCATCAAAACTATTCAGCAATTCCACCCTGTTATAGAAATATCGATGCAAAAATTACGGTATAAATTGATAGCGCTGTTCATCTTTCGTGCAACCGGCCGCAGGCATATAAACACAATACTTACGGTAGCTGATCCTTGCACGTGATCCTCTCAGAAAAAGCAGCAACTGCAGAGAATTGCTTGATGTTGAACTCTCCTTCTCTGTCGATAAGAACCAGCTATGGCATAAGGAAAACAATGAGTCGTCACCTTTTACAAACTTTGGTTCTTTACAGAATGTTCAATGCTGTGGAATGGATTTTTCATCGACTGCCTCTAAAGCAACTGCAATGTAGTTAAAGTCCTTAAAACAAATATACCTCAACAATGTTCTCAACATGTTCAGAATCTAATATTCCTGTGTGGACATCTTTCAAACCCGTTTCCAATTCCTGTAAGTTAAAGAAGACAAAGTTATGTTAGTTATGATAAAGATTGCGAGTATCAATTCTTTCAAACTTGGGGGAGAACATCTCCTTATAGATGATCGGTTTGAGGAAAGTTTATCGAACAAAATACGCAATTGATTAAATTTTAAATTTGTGAAACTGAAATGTTTATAAAACTAATTTGAATTTCCAAAGTATTAGGCCATAAACACACATGCAATTTCAAAATTCCAACAAGGCCATTGGAAGCGTTCTAAAACGCAGTTCATGCATAAGTCAGTGTGCCGGTCCACTTACAGTGAAGCTGATTAATCCGTCGCGATTTTTGTCCACCTTTTGAAATACGTGTTTGTACAACGCCTTTCTTCGCTTGCTATAATAAAGATTGTTATTTAGCCTCCAATAAAAAGCAAAATGGCTGGTATAATAATACGTTTATTTAACCTTTGAGATACCACTGAGAAATTATGCTTGAGAACGCTACCTTATGATACAGTATTTCGTCAGATATTCCATCGGAGTCATGGCTGAAATTGTAGGGAGACAAAACATCGTCAGATTAACTAGTTTCTTGCCTAGTTTCCCCGATTCTATTGAGTCTTGTGTTGTGATGGGTTGATCAGTGGTGTTTTACAAGTGTCACGGACCCAAAGAAAGGACCGTGACAGTATCACACAACTCACTTTCAAGCAAGCGAACATCCATTGGTATTTCAAAGCGACTGTTCTGTTGAGACAAGGCCAACCGTCCTTTGAGCCAAGGTTTCATGCCCTCCCTCAAGCGCTAGAATACAAGATAATGTTTTTCAGTAAGCTTCCACAACCTACTCTCGCAGTCTCTCATTTGCGTTTTTGATCTTAGGATACAGGTAAAATCCTATCTCTTCCATTCAACTTTTACCTTCTCTTGTTCCAGAATCTGTTCCATGAGTAATGCGGATTCTGCACACAAGATGGTGTCATCGCCCTCGCTATTTTCCGAGTCTTTTTTTCGCCGTATTTTTTGTCTCGGCGCTTTCATGTTGGCACGTTTACCATAAATGCTGCCTTTTGGCTGAAAAAGCAAAAAAAGATGGAAACCGTCCGGCAGTCAGATTACATGAAATGTCGCTGTTTTGAACCGACCAATCATAAGGTAGTTTACCTTTGGTCTTCTTCGTCCAGTCGAACTATACAGATCAGAATCAGATTGTCTGGAAAAAAGCAGAAAACTTTCACAGTAAAACTTTTGCAATCCACTGATCTTTGTTGGCACACCTGGAGCAACTGCCTATCCCGTTTTACTGCATTGGCAAGAACCACGGACACATGCATGAAAACTCGTGTGGCCAGCAGTTGAACAGGATTTCTTAGACACGTGTGCGCACAATTATATCGAGTGCAACGATTCTGAAGGTGGAAAATATAAGCAGAAATCACTGCTTACCCTTCCTCATCACTTGAGGTCTGTTCTGCCCCATCGAAATTCAGCTGTTTGTCCTTAAATTGCGCCTGAAGGTCCGGTTTACTTTGCGGCCTGGATTGTGAGAAAGAAACAATATTTTTTGTCGATACTTTGCATAAGCTCTGCCTGCTTTGGCTACGTGATCTTCATAAACACCAGCGCATATTTGAAGCGCGGGATTCTTAGTACAATCTCCACACTTGTTTACATCGATCGGAAAAAAATCATAGCAAATATTTGAAATGAAAACATCGACAATGGATGACTCAAGCTGTGAGAGTAAATTGTAATCCACACACAGAAAAAAGGAAATCTAACACCACAGCTAGAAACAGATGGAAAAGATGAAACCATAAATTTTGGTTTCAAAATTCTTTAAAATTGGGAAACTATTGTCATGCGAAGTTGACAGATCTTGTTAAACAATTACTTAATGGTTTCCATGTTTGGATGACCTGATCCAAACACGCGGGAATGTTGCGAGAGTTCAAAATATATACAAAATTTGCGAACTGACAATGTCTGCCACATTTCACAGCATTTTACCAACAAAATTCTGCAGTTTCAGCCAATCTAACTTCATCACTCACGTACCTCAAATCAGCAGATCTTCTCTCCATCGTGGTTTTCGATAAAGAGCCGTCAGTTTCTTCTGGCGATGTCAATCGCTTCATGATGGAAGAATCAAGTTCATGTTCAAAAATTCGATTTTTATCGCTTCCCTTGAGGATCGACTTTGGCGACTCGGTGCCGGCTGCGTCCTCTACGCCGACATTCGACGATGATCGGCGATCTGTCGTCAAAGGTTCGGAAAAGGTAACTTGTTGGTTGTTTTGTGATGCGTCCAGTTCGTCGCTCGGAGTTCCGTTTTCAAGCGAGTTGCCGTCCAAAGAGTTTTCTGCATCATCGGGATTTTGTTGATCTGATTGCAAACTAAAGAATCACAAAAATACGATACGATGTAACTAAATTGATACGTATTTCGTCCTCAAAAAAGCCTAAAACGCTTTGGACATGCAGAAAAAGGCTGGTTATTAACGAGATTCGGTCACAATAGTCCTAGTAAGCTTGGGACATGTCGCAGTGCTCGGAAGCTTTCGTCCAATTGGATAATGCTTTTCTATGCTTTCTAAAGAACGAAGCTATGCTATTGGTTGAAACAGATGTGTATTGTAAAGTTCAGCCAATGAAAATCATTCTTGCGAGGAGCTGCGACACTACCCGTAAGCTTGCAAATGAACAATTGGCTACAATGTTTCCATTGCGGCCAAGTCTTGCACCTGGTATAAACAACTCTGTCAAGTCATGTAAGCATTTTCCACATAGAGCAACAACTCGCTTGGTTATGATACCTTTTGTTTATGTCATCTTCGCTCTTCAGAGCACCGCTTTCGTCCAGGCCGCTACTTTTGCCATCGACACTACCATCATATTGGTCGTAAATGTTCACACCTGTGTCATCACCTTGGCGACCGGCATCGGAGTCACCATCAGCATTGCCCTAAGACGAAATCAAAAAGTTATAAACGAGACAGTTTTTTAATCCACAGCCTGCGAAGCGAGATGTTTTTGTTAAAATGTACCACTCCGTCAAGCAAAAAGGGCAAACTTTTTACAGCAAAACACAATTGATATTATAAATAAATACATCTTACCTTTCCATTATCCAAAGCAGACTCGCCGAGCAAATCTGAAGCGTTTGCATCAATATCGCTACCAGAAAGACCTTCTCCGGCGTTTTGTAGTTCAAGTGAGGCAAACACATCTTGATCCACACTAGACGTCGTGTTCCCTTCTTCTTCACCGTCGTCCATATTGGATCCTTCCCCGTCCAAAAAGCTTCCTGTGTTTGCGAGAAAATCGTTATTTGTAATGCACAAACTAGGACAAAGATAAGATAGATCATTTGAAAATCCATCTGCCGTCAAACAGTAGAAAATCTTCTTGCGAATGGACAGTAATTAAATGAGAAATTAGGAATATGACTATATAGTCAGTTCTGTTTAGCTTTCTATTATTAACCAGCCTTCTCACGATCGTTACCTGATCGTATTTACATCAGCGTTATATACAGCATACAAAAGGAAACTAGTAACTACCAAACCTGATACTAAATGTCAAACTTCGCAGTCTAAACCGAATTGAAAATCGTTAATTTCATAATCAAATTAAGCAATTCAGCTCTGCTATTATCTAAACACTTCTCTGCACGAAACGACGGCTGCCTAGGCAATGGCCACTACAATGCCGATACGAAAACATATTCTTGTATTCAAACCACGATATTTCATCAGTAAGATATTCCACAATAGTTGTGCGTGTAAATAATCATTAGTTGTAATGTACTTGCGTTTTTTATCCGAAGGATTGGCTCCGTCCTTCGTTAGACCAAAACAAAACAGTCAAAACGCATGACTTTGTAAACTGTTACTGATAGCGCCGTCTCGTAGTTAAACTGCAAACCATATTTAAATTTCGACAGGTGCAAAAGGCCAAAACGATATGTTTTGCATGTATGAAATATCGCTTTGACAACCAGCGAGTGTTTTTATGAAAATTTATTAACAAGGAAACGAAAGTAAGATGTTTGGAAACTTTGTTCACTTCAAACCTTGATTGAAGAAAATTTCGTTTGAATTGTAGATATTTTTTCAGAATTTCTGGCGTGCTATATCTCAGTTAATACAGCCTACTTAAATTGTCAATCAAATTAAGAAAAACGATTTGTCGACACGAATTACAGATGTGCTTTAAATAAAAAAATTAACATAAAATGAACAACATTGAGTCGCATTGGCCATTATACATGAATTGATACCGTAAATTTCCTGATTAAAAATCGCCGGTAAGTAATTGTCGGTGAATAAAATTGTGAATTCAGGTAATTCAACAAGAATTGTTCGTCATATTACAATGTAGTGCATTACAGTTATTTTAATTTGTATTTTTTTTGTAGCACTTTCCATTCGGACAGGTATACTGACAATTCGAAGTAGTATGTTCGCAAAGTTTTATGTCAGTAATAAAAATTTCTAAGGGCTTGTTTAGATGGAGCGAGTTATCCCGGCCAAGCGAGGCAAAAACTAAAAATCGCACTGATCACATCAAAGGCTTAACCTGATTAGTCTTTCAAATATGCAGTTTTCACCTCGCCCAGCCGGTATAACGTGCTCCATGTAAACAGGCGTTTACAACAACATGGCATCTCCTCTTATTGCGCCCGACAGCCAACCGACTACCAAACAGCCGTGTATTAAGGTTGCCAAACAGCCGTGTGAAAACGTCACCACAGGTGAAATAAACATTTATTAGAGCCTATAACGTACCGTCCAGTTCAGATTTGAGCAACGAAGATCTTGACGAAAACTGGGCTTCCTGACTTGCGTCATCAACATCATCTTTCCTAGGGTCCAATCCATCGCTCGGTAAGATATTTCTAAACCCGATGTCGACCTCTGTTCCACTCTCCTCTCCGCTGTCTGCCAGTTCTTCCTGTGTACCTGCGGATACCAAAAGGTCCTCGGTGACCATGCTAATACCACAGCTGCTATAGCCGCTGCTCTTCGCAGTCCCCGGACGCTGGTGCACGGGCATCGGCTCGACAAAACTAATGTACTTCGGAACATTGCCACGACGAAACTGGAAAGTGTTTAAACTTAACGTCAGTTTCAACGTTCAAGTACAAATAATTCTTGGGGCAAAATGCACAGTTTGACAATCAAGCCTATACCAGAATCAGTCTACCAGGCAGACATGGCGATGCAACAGGTTGCCAAATTCAGATTTGTATACTCACCCCTTTCGGGTCAACGATCTTCGGTTTAACACGCTGTCTCTAAAAATACAAAAAAATGAGAAATACTCAGACTGTGCTTGACTCGTTAATTGGGATTGCTCCTTGTATTATCAATTGAATCTGTCAGGAGAAAAAGATTCAGTGAATATCTTTCTCTCGCCTATACTAAGTGGTATTCTTGTGCCAGACTAGAATGAGCGCCAGCCATTGTTTTCGCTTTGCAATGAAGATCGTAGTCGTGTATAACGATAAACATTGCACTGTTATTGTCCTCTATAGCATAATCATAGGAAGGCAACTACATGAACCATACATTACCCAAATCCCCAAAGACATTTTCGATCAAAAACTGTCAAACAATTCAATCTCTGAATCGCCACAAATAAGCTGCATATTCGCAGCAAGTTTAGTCCACATGTTACATTTCCGAAATCAAAAACAATTCACAACACTGCTCGTTGCTAACTAAACAACGCTAAACGCTCACAATTGACATACAAAGTGTAAAATAAACATCGTAAGGAAAACTAAGCTTTAAATCAAACTATTGAATGAAAGTTATTTGGAAAGAAATCCCAATGTAATCCCAGGGTTTTCCATCAAAGGCTTCGGTATAAATGCACGCAAAATGTTTTTTTCCATTCTGGGACATTCTCATAAATTTATCCCGTAGTTTCTGCCGAAAATTCGAGGCAGTGTTGTTATTAGAGGCGAGAAGAAAGAAAAATGTTGTAGTTTTTGGAGTATCTTTGCTGTAAATATCCAGAAAAAGAGCGTTCGACAAAGTACTTAATCCCTAACTTCAAGTGTATTGTAAACCTTGTGCTTTTGTGCGATTGACAGCTATATTGCAATATCAGAAATGGTTTTGCATATATTAAATATATCTAAAGTTAAGGTCTGTTTTAGAAAAAGGATTTGAAATTTATAAAAGCTGTATTTTATTTGAAGTTTATAACATCTGTATGTGATTCTTAAGTCAATAGACCAGGTGGTTAATTGTTTATTATTCTAAGTGTTTGGATCCGGAAGAATATTTTTACGGGACTCTGTGTTTTGTAACTTCTGCAGAAGCCAGTTGTACGAAATCTGTTTATCCTAAACAGTGGATGAGTCAAATTTGAATGCCTTTTTTTATACCTTTCGAATATAGAAGGTTATCTACGTTGTTGTAAATTATTGAGACATTTTCGTCTTGATTTTTCACTGAATCGCCTATTTTGTGCGTAGCCGTGACGACTGTGCCTGGATGGCTGATAAATGTGGTAAAATCTTTAGCAGAAAACATGCAATCGGACAAATAATTATCGAGTTAATGTGACACTATAGCTTGGTGCGTCTTTGCATCAACGTAAAAAAAACTTCGCTAATGCTTTCGAGTTTTTACTGATTGGTTCAAGGAGATTAGAATTCCTTCCAGCCGGTAGAAAAAGTGAACAATCGTCCTTACCAGATTTGGAGAGGAAAGACGTCTATTTTTCACATAATTCGCGCAGTGATGATTGGAGCTGGGAACGAATCGTTCTGCTGGCAAAACTGTTCTTCTGAAGGCAATGCACGACTGAGGTCTGAATTTATAATCGGCCACTGACGAGACGTCACTCAACGAGAGAGAATCAAGTCGACGCTGGATTGCGTCATCAGTAAAAAACATGGCGTCCGACAATGATCCGTCGTCCAACACCCGAGCGTTGCATGGTAACAAGGCCGAGAACTCTTGAGCCAATTTTGGATCCGGTCGCTTAACCGGGCTTGATTTAGTGGCAAAGCTATTATTTACAGACGACGCTGCACTTTTTGTGTTATTTGGTGCAGAAGGGCATCGATTCTTCGCCAACGTTTTCCTCCCAACACCATTTTCATATTTCCCCACGACCAATTTGTTGTTTTGCGAAGGTGCTTTGGTTCTCGTTAAGGGCGTCGACAAACACCTGATTCGAAGACTACCGCTGTCTGGCTGGCGCTTGGCACACGTTTTGACACCGCTATTAAGGTGGCTATAGGTAGTATTTTGTTGCAAATTATATTTAGCACTTTGCGGTTTTTGAGAGAAGGCACTCGTTAAACCGGCCGGACCGGAATACCTTCTTTGTTTCGTTCTCGACTTTGGTAGCTGAGAGAAGGATTTTAAAACATCCACTGAGCTTCCAATTTCGCTCACGGAATGCAAGCTGTTGGCTCGTGGACTGGACTTTCTGTACATCAAACTTTGATTCGTTGTACATCAACGAATTTTTACTGCTGATTGAGAATTATTGGATTCCACACGCGCCATCCTTCAGGCGCCCAGTTTGTGCTTTACCCATAAACAAATCGCTTCACCCTATTTAGGGATGCTTTGACGGGTCGCTCCGAGAGTGCTAATTCATTTCGACCAGGTGAAGTGTTTCTTGTAGAGAAGCAAGTGAGAAATCTTCAAATAACTGTAAACAAATAATACAGTATCAGACATCCCGACTAATCTTCAGACATCGCAACTAATCTTAATTACGGTGATGATTAACACGTCCCAGTTTTTCACCGATCGATTACGTTTCAAGAAAGATGCAATTACCTTTGTAACAAGGTTTATATGAACACAACGCTTTTAAATACAACTTAGAATGGCCAATCACTTCATAAATTACAATGCATCGGTGCAATTAACGTAGAGATGCATTAAGTGACTTTCACCACGCATCACGTTTCTAAAATTTAGTATATATATATTATCTATTAGCTGTTTCTAATTGCTAATCATGTGTTTAATTATAAACTCTAGCCAATAGATATCACGCCTAAAGTCACAGAAGCGTGCAGCCAAATTTTAAATATACAAACTTCAGGAACTAAATCTGACAACAGTTCGACTTTGCCGTGAGGAGTAGATTAATATTTATCGTTTTTTAAAGATATTAAAGTCTAAGGTCGCGTTTACTTTCCATTATTAGCAGTAAAAGGTTGATATTAAAATACCAAACTTACCGAACTTTAATGCATGCTCAACCTTTACAACTTTCATTATCTTGATAATCTTAATGATCTTTACAGATATTCTGGTTTGCCGGCTTTGTTTACAACAAGATTCAAAGATTATTTCCACTGACTATTCATTGGCTCCAGAGTAATCTGACCTCTCGATTGTATGCACGGTTGTCATGGAAATGACGACGCATTTAACCACCCACCTTTCTACTACAAGGCTAAAAATCCCGATGACTTTTTTAGTTCATATGCTCACGAGACCAGGTTAGAGCAGTTTCCTTAAAGATACTATTTCATAATCGATGTGTTGCCATTTTGTCCCGCGGGTAACCATCCGTTCGTTTCAATATTGCAAGGGATAGAGTCGATACTAAAATTTGCTGCATCACGACCCATTGCAAGTTAATAGTTAACCAAATGTTTGTAGGAGAGTTGCAAACCATTAAAGCATTTGGAAGGACGTAAAAATCAATAGTACTATTACACTTATATCCCATAAGTTGGTAAGCCTTATGAAATAAACGTCAAGCGAAGGTTTATGCGCGCTGTTTAAGACTGAGTTGACAACGAGGTCTTAAAATAAATTTAGGCCCAATAAATTTTTAGTTTTCAGAAGCAACTAATTTCAATTATGGAAGGAAATTTCGCGAGCTATTGGCACATCCTTCGGTAATTACCCAGGATATCAGACTTAGTCAAACTTAGTATTGTAGAGTATACGAGGGAAGCCAGCTAGGTTAGTTGAGATGATATGGAGATGAAATATGAGCAGAGATATTGGCATTAAGGCGAGCTGGTGGGATATATCATGGAATGAAGAAATCAGAGCGTGTCTCAAGAAGATGTGAGGTGGTAGACATTGCAGGATGAAGGAAGCAAGGTTGAGATGATATAAACACGTAATAAGAAGAGGTGAAGGAGAGCTGGTATTCTGGTAATGATGAATGCTGCGGAACGCTGGGAATGAAGAGGTTAGAAGATTTGAGCTGGTAGGCATTGCAGAGAAGATGAGAGAAGCAAGGTTGAGATGATATAGACACGTAATAAGGAGAGGTGAAGGAGAGTTGTTATTCTGGTAATGATGAATGCTGCGGAACGCTGGGAATGAAGATGTTAGAAGATGTGAGGTGGTAGGCATTGCAGAGGAGATGAAGGAAGCAAGGTTGAGATGATATAGACACGTAATAAGGAGAGGTGAAGGAGAGTTGTTATTCTGGTAATGATGAATGCTGCGGAACGCTGGGAATGAAGAGGTTAGAAGATTTGAGGTGGTAGGCATTGCAGAGAAGATGAGAGAAGCAAGGTTGAGATGATATAGACACGTAATAATAAGACCTGAAGGAGAGATGGTCAGAGATATTGTGAAATAAAGAGATCAGAAGAAGATGTGAGGTGGTAGACATTGCAGAGAAGATGAGGGAAGCAAGGTTTAGATGATATGGACACGTAATAAGAAGAGACGAAGGAGAGCTGGTAATGAAGAATGCTGCGGAACGCTGGGAATGAAGATAATTAGAAGATATGAGATGGTAGACATTGCAAGAAGATGAGAAATGACATACCGAAATACATATAGTAATAGATATTGAAACTTCCAGCAACATAATTACATTGTCGAGGAATACTGTAGCATAATATTTTTTGCCAAAACAAACGATCATTTGATAAAATCTTTAATTTTTTCCCTCAAGGCCCTAAACAGCCTAACAATCAGCACAAAATCTTTGCTGACATAATCGCTCAAATCGTTTCTTACCTTATCAAGGTTCTCCAAGATCTCTCGTGTCATCAAACCAAACTCCCCTTCGGTACTTGTATAATTCAATCCCTCGTAAACGGCTCGACATTTCTTGCACGTTGGCCAAAGGGATTCTAGCTTCGATAATCTTTTATCCTCGACATGACTTAAATGGAATGAAAACCAATCAGCACACGCTTCGAAATACTCGTCTTTTGAAGTAGCCATTGAATTGAGTATATTATAAAGCCATGAAAATTGCAAAGTGTTTGCAAATTCGTTTAATCAACAGCTTGTTGAATATTTTGCCGGAAATTTGCCGTTTTTTTCGACGGTGAATACGTAGCAACTGTACATGAAATTGTTTGTTATTCCAGTCTAAGTTTTAAACATATTTTGAATATATCCCAAGATTTCAATGAAGAAATGTTTTATACGAACACCTGCTGTAGTCGCTCATGACTACGTGTTTTGGCATGTCAATTGTGGTTTGTATATATTTTCATTTGAAAATAAAATTTCGCTGGTGGCACTGAATAAACAATTTACTTGTTGTGAACTTGGATAACGGAACTGCATAGCAGTGTTTTGCTTTTCATAACGTTTTTTAGGCTTGTGGTTTCCATGTGACGAATTCATTGAAAACAATAGATAAACTAGTTGAAATACCCCGTTATCTGTTGTTATTTTAATGCATTAGGCAAATTGAAAAGTGGGCCATTTTGTAATATCCTTCAAGGAGAAATTACAACCTTTATATCGTTCATGTCAACTAATAACCCTTCAGGCACTTTCCACTACGAAAAACACAGCCAACGGCGTATTAGAAAAGTTTCATCGCTGGAGATAGTATCTGAGCCTGATTTGAAATGTAAACACGATGTAAATGAAGAAGCTGGATTTATCTCAACTGCATGTCTAGAATAGACTTAAAGATATACTTTCCCTCTGCACCTCACTGGCAAGTTAGTAAACCAAATCCAGAGTGGGTAGTAATGTTAGTAATGCTTAAAAACTCAATCACAAATATCAATTTTAAAGGCAAACTACTTTCACCAAAGCACTTTTTACTATCATAAATGCTGTGTCTCATTTTTTAATAATTCTTGTTACGTCAGCTACATTGTATTATTTGTGTTGGGTAATTTTCTCTTGAATGATCCAGAAAGAAATAGAAAGAAATATGCATTTATCTGTTTCTAAAATCATTGGAGTATATCGTTCATTTGGGATCAAAGGTTCGTTCATTTCATCTCCTCAAAGTTTCGCTTGTGACTTCAACAGGTCGCCCAATTTTTGCGTCAGCAAAATATTCCCGCCAACTTTCAGTTTCCCGGTCATAAACAACTGTTGCGCGTTGGCCTTTCCCGCCACAATCTTGGCAAAATCGTCGTCTGCAACAGTTATGGTGCAATCTGGTCTCCCAGCGGGTGCGCCCGCGGTGATTGTTCCACTCCCAGTTTTGAGGTCCACAAACCACTGGCCAGCGGTTTTACCATCTTTGGTAATGTTCCAAAGGTACGTGGCTTTGATTCTTTGCGCGAGTTTGGGCGATGACGCAAGACGGGCGGCGAGGTCTTTGAAGATGGCGTGAGCTTTAAGGCTCGTGTTTCCACTTGCTGGAGGTTTTGCAGGTGCTTTCGATGGTTTTTGATTTATCTTGGACAATTCCTGCGAGTGAAACGTTTATCGAGTTAGTTGATGTGTCATAGTGACATAATCTACCATTACAAAATCATTAAATACCTTTTTTAAATCAAATTCGTTCAACAATGTCTGCAACTTTTGTGCTAACATGATATTCCCTGAAATCTTCACTTTTCCTTGCATGAACAACTTCTGCGGGTTCGTCTCGCCCATCGCGATCCTCATGAAATCTTCGTCGGCAATCGTGATCGTACAGCTCGGCTTTCCCGATGGCTTTCCGTGCGTCACCGATCCTGGTTCCTTCGTGAAGTCGGCCGTACCGAGATCCGAGAATTCGGATTTTCCCGCCTTTCGTAATTCGCCACAGAAAAGAGGCTTTGATTTTCTTTACCAAGTGGGGGTAGTTCGGGAGGTTGTCTGACATCAGTTGAAACAAGGTGTCACTCTGCACTGACGTACTTGCAGAGGGTGGGGTAACCTTACTTGTTTCGTTGCTCTGTAAAACGAAAAGATGAAAATGTAATGGCATTAATGTTCCTGTCATTGCTAAGCGTAACTACAAAGTTTAGACTAGTTTCCCTGAAGAAAACGGCGATTAGAACCATTGACAATGCACATTTGACAAAGTTTTGAAAAATTATATATATATAAAGCTTGTCTATTTTACTGCAGTTCGAAAAAAACACTTAGTAAATTCGCAAAGATTGGTAGAAAACTTAGTAAATTCGCAAATATTGGTAGAGAAATATTGTATAATGAAAAAAATATAGCCCACTAGAATGGTTAAATTACCTAAAAAGCGACAATACGTCAAGTTTATAACTTTTTCTAGTTGGTAAAACGGTTTGGGATCATCCTCTTTGAAACCTGAGCAGTTTTTACCTTGCTTGGCGGTGCCACCGAGCCATGCAACTCGATATAAGCACCAGTCAACAAAATCTCCCCCGTTTCAACCACCTTGCACTGTATAAGCACTCTGTTTCCATCATTCCACATCTCCGTACGAATGCTTTGACCTGGAATAACTGGTTTCGAGAATCGAGCTTTGATTGCTTTAAACCTGCGAACGTCGTTGTCGCAAAAGTGCTTCAGGACGTGCCTGGTAGCGTAACCCATGGAACACAAGCCGTGAAGGATTGGAGTTTTGAAACCTACAAGTCGAATAAGTTGAATATTTACTATTTAGTACGTTCGTCATGTATTTAACATATGGCATCTTGCCTTCTTGTTCAATTCGAAAAATTTACACTAGAATTTTGCATTAGTCTTCTTTATACTATTGATTGATTAATTGATTGATTGATTATTGATTGATTATTGATTGATTGAAGCTTTAATTTTCGAAAAAAACAAGCTGTGTTGAAAGTGGAAAACTTTCGATTGTCATGTATATGAATTTTTGCCTTTAAAAGGAGGTGTACATTATTTTTCAGAATACATGCGTTCAAAAGCATACCTTCTTTAAATAAAGTTTATTATTAAAAGCTTTGCAATTCGGTGAATTGAATGTGTTTTTGAGCGAGCCTTGGGGCTTGGGTGTTAAAAACTGACTGTTCATTGCAAAAAAAGCCAAAACTGTGTTGCAATCCGAATGTACAAACTTTCCTAAGTGAAATAGTTTTTAAAACTCACCTCCCATAGCAGCAAAACTTGGGTCAATGTGCAAAGGATTTAGGTCACATGCAAGACGATACAGAGCTGCCTGGCTGTTGCCAGTTTTCTCGATTTCAACCACATCAGGAGCCCTGGTGGGTGTGGCTACCAATGGCCTCAACTCATTCGAACGAGTCTTGCCACCAAATCCACCACTTCCAATAGCAAATATTGCAAACTGATTAAAGCAAACAGGACCTAAAATAAATAGATGTTGGTGTCTATAATAAACTAAGATTTGATGTGGAGAGAGTTTCCTCATAATAATACTATTATTATTACTATCAATATTGCAAAGATATAAGCCATGGCTGAGTGATAAATTGCAGGAGTATATTTTTTACTATTTTACAACATTTTGCAACCACATTTTGCAGTTAATCTAGAGATCCTAAAATATGCTCTTTCTATTTGTGGCATTGGATTTCATGGCTTGAATAGAATTTCTGGTCTGTGGATGAAATTTTTCACTAGTGGCAAGAATAGTGCATTTAGACAACATACAAATTTTATTCAGCAAAGTCAACTACCTTTTTCATCAGAAGTGGTAATATTGACAACGATAAGAGCCCCTGACTTCTTGTCCAAAACATCTGCAATTACAGTGCTGCTTTTTAGTGTTGCATTTGCTTGTAATGGCCGATACAATTCCAAGTAATGTTCCCCATGAAGTGCCTTCAAAAACAAAATATTTTCAAAATGAATAACCCAAAATAAGGTTTTAAAATAAATCTGAAGATATTGCGACCACAAGGGTCTGCAATGGTCTACAATAGAATAAAAAAGAAGTACAACCTAAATTAAGTCTCAATTCTGATAGCACAGAATATTACCTTGGCTGGGTTTATTTCAAAACCAATTTTTTCTTTGCTCAAAAAAGAACTTGTCATAAAACTTGCCTAAATGAGAAAAGTTGACTGTTAGTTTGTTCAAATATTGTTTGATGTATTATTTGGTTATTCACAAATAAAACACAATAAAAAGCAATGCAAATTTCTTTCCTACCTGAGCAGGAATCACTGCAAATGTTGGCAGAACACTGAAATCTTCATGACCCTCATACAAGAACTTCAAATGAGAGCCATCTTCTTTAACAGTCACACCAATTCCCAAGGCAAATTGAATAACCTCTTTGAAGGTGTAAGAGAACTCATCCTTCAGGCGGGCAGGTGTTCCACTCTCGGCAGAGGTGTCTTGTCCCATTAGCAGCTTCATTGTTCCATCATTACCAGTGGCTGGATTAGTTGCGTCAGTCCAGTCTTTGATTCGAGCCCAGTTATCTCGTACCAGTTCTGCGGTAAGATCTTGTCCGTCAGACAGGAGGTTAACTCCCTTGGATTGCTGCCAGCGAATCACGGCTGCCGCACCGCCGGCGATGAAAAACAACTGACCGTTTTCGTCACAGGTCTTGTGGCACAGGTACACCAAGAAAGGTGCAACCAATCTGGGCGCTACCATTTTCAAAACTTCTTCCGGCAAAATCCCTTTGGTCAACCGGGAATCTGCAACAGGGACAATGGTGTTGCACTTGATGTTGTAACGCTCGCCTTCAATAGCAAGGGTTCGGGCCAAGCTGTACAATCCGAGTTTAGCAGCCGCATAATTAGCCTGTCCGTAATTCCCGAAGACGCCGGTTGTCGACGAGGTCATAATGATCCGCCCGTACTTTTGTTTCTTCATGTGAGGCCATGCTGCCTTGGTGACCAGGAACGCGCCTCGGAGATGTACCCTGTGGACTAAATCCCAGTCCATGGTACTCATATTACCAAAGGAACGATCTCTTAAAATGCCAGCATTATTGATCAAAATATCAATTCGGCCAAACGCTTTTATAACCTGGTCAACCAGCTCTTGCCCGTTTTCAACAGACTCGTAATTTGCGATCGCTTTTCCTCCCGATGCGCGGATCTCTGCGACGACTTTGTCGGCCAAAGAGGAGCTCCGACCTTCCCCCCTTGCACTTCCACCTAAATCGTTGACTACCACCGAAGCACCCCGCGCAGCGAAGGCCAGAGCGTATTCCCTACCTAGACCGCCTCCTGCACCAGTTACGAGCACAACTTGGCCGTCAAAACGCAGAGATTTAGCTGCCATTTTGCAGAAACAAGTAAAACTGTGGCAATTCTTTCCAATGCTTTCCTTCAAGGATTGCGAAAAGGCAAATGGACTTTAAATCATAATTTCCATCGCCCAAAAGACAGCCTTACGTCATCGATTGAACCAAAATTCCGAAGTCGGATTTAGTTTCCTATTTTATTTAAAAAAATTTTCTTTACAATTTTTTTCGGATGTAATAGAGGTTTATTGTCTAAAGTACAGTGATACATAAAAAAAATGGCAAGTTGAAGTTGACGGTCGACCAGCTAGTTTAGCTTTACGATGATTAGGATTAATGCTTCTAATTTTGAGGGATGGAAACGAAGCTGATATAACAAACGAACTCCGAACGTCTCCCGATCGTAAACCGAATAATCCCGAACCAAAAATAACAAAAATTTGTAAAATTTTTTGGTTCAAAGTGCAAAGTGTTCGAAAATCGTTTTGTTTAAAGAATCCAATCATTAAAATGGTCGAAAACAGCAAAGTATTTGCCAAATTTCCACCTGGACCTCTGGATGTGTACAGAAAACAAGCATCTTTTGATTGGTACGACATGAAACGATTTATAGAAGGCGATGAAATCTTGGAGACCAAGGAAAAGATTTGGAGCGTTATGGCCAAAGATCCAGTGTTTTTAGAGACAACGCAAGGTCTGACCATGGAGGGAAAACGACGATTGACATTTCTGAGAGTTAAAAGACTTGTGGAGTATGATTTTTTGGGCGAGGTCGGGGAGAATCCATTGAATTTACATGCTATAACAGATGCGTTTGGTTCGCTTAACTGGGGATTGCTTGCAAAATTTCAATTGCATAATCAGGTGGCTGCAAAATACCTTCAGAGGAGTATTTATGTTCTGTCTGGTGTCATTGTTTTCTCATGCATTTCACTTTACCCATTTGATATTAATGCTGCTTGGGTTAGCTGTGCTTTGGTACACAGGAGCCCTGTGTTGCTACTATGTCACTACCTGTTGTGCGGTAACCTGCAATTAGCAAGGCACCTATATAAGTGATTTTGCCCTATTGACGGCAATCAATTTTACCGGACAATTGGTCAGGGTTACTATTATGACCACGCATGATGGTGGATACGACTCATTGATAGCATTGGTGGTGATGGGATGTTGGTGATGCCAGTTGTGACAATGACAGTAATGAGGGTGATATGGTAGTTTTGAGCGGTGGTAGCAGGGTGGTGATAATGATGATATGGTCGTAATGATAGTGATGACATTAGGAAGAGTGCCCTGTTGTAATAGTTGTTACTTAGTAATGGTTTGTGTTCCATGGCCATCCAACATTGTCCACATAAATACAGGCAAAATAATTTCCCCTTTGCTTGCATTTACTCTTTCAGATGTTTACGTTTAATTTAAAATCAGCCAGTCAGCATCCAATGATCCAATCTTTGGTAGAAAAATGTGAAAATTTAGAGGTTTGTCATTGTTGCTTTCAAACTTACACATTTGCAAGATAATCAGTATATGACTGTTCTTGTTGAAGACCATAATGATATTGTATTAAACTATCCCAATATCACCAGGTTTTTGGCTGTTTTGCCCTAACGGAATTGAGTCACGGTAGTAACACAAAAGCTATGAGAACAGTTGCTGTTTATGACCCGAAAACACAGGTGAAAACATATTTCAGTTTTTGGTATGGTTTATATCAATTTGTTAATAAATTCTCTCAACATTTTCTGAAAACACAATTCACCATGAAGCTGTCTTTAGACATTTGAAACATCAAATACTAGCTCATGATAGATGCTTTAACGCTGCTGATATTTAACCAATTCACTGATGCATTTTTCATTTTAAATTACGAAGAGAATTTCTATGTTATAGAAATTTATTTTAAATACACCGGACCACGAAGCGACGAAATGGTGGGTGGGGAACCTGGGTAAGACCGCCACCCATGCCTTGGTATACGCTCAACTCTACACTCCAGATGGCATGTGTCATGGTCTTCACATGTTCTGTGTGGAAGTGCGTAACCCTGATCTCACAGCTAGACCTGGAGTGCTCGTGGGGGATATTGGGCAGAAACTGGGACAGAATGAGTTGGATAATGGGTGAGTGATGGTGGGAATTGAGGATGAGATATTGATAGTAGGTGATAGTAGGTGATAATAAAATAATCACTCACCCTATTTCTCACAGATTTGTAGCATTTAAAAACGTGTCCATCCCAAGGGAGTTTTTATTAAGCAAGCATTCTCAAGTCACACCAGATGGTCGCTATGTCTCCACGATTAAAGACCCTAGGAAAAGATTCGCTGCATCACTAGGAGCTCTCTCACACGGCAGAGTTGGCATTACTGAGATGAGTGTTGTTAATTTAAGGTTATGTCTGACGATAGCAATAAGGTATGTTAGTTTCATCAGTTGTTTTAAGACTATTAACTTCAACACAATTTCCACTGTTATGTTCATTGCATACAACCAGACGTTTTTAAAGACTTGAACTAAAGATTGAACTAAACTCTTTTGTTCCTGCAGGATGATAAGATGTCATTGTTTTATAAATACCTGTAATGTCCTTTTCCATATTATCTGCGCAGGTATTCAGCAGTTAGACGTCAGTTTGGACCACCTGGACAAGACGAGATCCCTGTTTTGGAATATCAAATGCAGGTTAGTTATACACAATAAGCATATGAAAGTCATTAAAAAGCTCAGAAAAAAGGCGGGAATGTTTATTAATAGATTAGATTTATTTCAATTCAACTTGAATTTGAAAAATGCACTTATTTTTCAGCAATGGAGGTTAATTCCACTCCTGGCTGCAACGTACGCCTTGCAGCAATTTTCTAAAACGTTATTTCAAGATATGCTTCGCTTTCAAGTTGGCTTAATCCTCGGTGAATCCGACACGAATCAGGTAGAAAGCCTCTGCCTCTACGGCTTCATCAAATCATTCAAGTTCAACGTCTTATATTAATGCTTGAATTAAAATAAGTTGCACGGCATAATGCGTAAATTAGCACTTCCATAAACTACATTATTATGGTCTCTGAAAGTTGTGTCTTGTTTCTATGCATTTTAAAGGCTGATTTAGGTCGTGAACTTCACGCTCTATCGTGTTCGTCCAAACCTATTGCCGCGTGGACAGCACGTGATGCCATCCAGGAGTGTCGCGAGGCGTGTGGCGGTCATGGATATTTAGCTGGTAATAAACACATGTGAAATTTCACTGGACTGAACCCTAATTATGCAGAGCTTTAGCGGTTTTCTACGAGCTGTAAGATTCTGCATGAAGAAGCTTGCACTTTTGTCGGACGAGATCGCTTAACCGAGCGACAACGAGTATGCGTGGTGGCGTAAGCAACATCACGCGAATCTCGTGATTGCTGCTAAAGGCTCGCTGATTACCCCTCCCCCCCAAAAAATTCCCCCTTTTCTCCCCCCTCGGGCTGATGTAGAAATGTATCTTTCCAAATCCAGTCAACAGGCTTGGTGAACTCAGAGATGACAATGATCCTAATTGTACCTACGAAGGTGACAATAATCTGCTGCTGGGGCAAACAAGCAACTTCTTGCTTTCAAAACTGGACGAAATAAAAAAAGGTTCGATATTTTCTAAACCCCATTTAACACCGTCGCAATTTCTTTCAAGTACAGTGGAAATTTTGCAAAACCAAATCCTACGTTTTTGTGGGATAATTTGAAGGAACTATAAAAGTGATTTCTTCCTGATATTTATTCACAAATTCTTTAAAACTTGGCGTTTATCAATACAAAATTCCGAATTACATCAAAGAACCTTCGTATATAGTGTGAATCAAGGTTAACACACTTTGCCTTTATAGAAGATCGCGAACTAAGCGGTTTTTGAATATTTTTACTGCGCTTATATATCTTAGGAGAAAAAGTCAACTCGCCTACAGGTTGTGTGGAGTTTCTGAATCATATGGACGAGATATTGGAAAACAAGTTTCATGCACACACGATAAAAGATTTCAAAGGTTTTGATGGTCAGAAGAAATCTTTTCATTATTGTTCTATGTGTAAACCTTACGTTAATAACATCATCCAATCTACCGGACACTGCAACAATTGCCACTTTCTTTTTTATCCAGTTATTTTGCAAGCATTCAGTTGGCTGGTTTGTTACTTATTAAAACAAAGCGATAAAAAGATTCAAAGCGAATTGAATAGCGGCAAGGTTTGGCAAAATCTTATCCAATTCTCTCAGCAAATAGTATAAAAACACCTAACATTAAATGCTTGAATTTGAAGGAAACGTTTTCAGCAAAAAATGACAGTCAAGCGTTTTTCTGTCGCTCGTTGGCATTGGCGTTCATCCAGGTACGTATACGGTATACAGAGATCCAACTTTTATCAATAATATCCAGCCATTCGAAAAATTAGATTTATGACTCTCTTATAGAAAACAGTTATGGACAGATTTCATGCGTTTGTTCACGACCCTGATACTCCAACGAATTTTCGCGCCATTTTAGCAAAGTTGGAAATCTTGTATGGTTTGTGGATTTTGGAAAAACATTTAGGAACTTTTTACGAAGGTTTGTGTTAAAAAAACATTTCCCAAGCAGGCATTTGAACAGCTGTGATTTATTTTATATTACACATCACACACAAAAGATTTCCTTATTACCTTACGTTACGACAGGTGGCTTTTTCAATCAAGGAAGTCATGCCGGGATGATTCGTAAATCAATCGTGGATCTTTGTGACGAGGTTTGTTTCGGTCTCCCATTCGGTCGTCTTGTTGTCGTAGCATTGTAGTACCTTCGGTGAAAAAATTATCAGTTAAGGATGAAATATATTGGTCTTTGGGAATGAAATTTATTGTCTTGTAGATTAAACCAGAATCAGTGTCATTAGTGGATGCTCTGGCACCCCCAGACTTTATTCTGAACTCCCCAATTGGCCATAGTAATGGAAAGGTTTGTACTAGTGATTAATTCTGTAGAAAGGTAGGACTATTGTTCAAAAGCCTAGTCCGTTCTGGGAATCTGATCTGAACAAACTCTAGTTCAGATTTAAAAGTGTTTGGCGAACCTAAATGCTGTTAGATACTCTCCCAGCAACATCTAAACCCGCCTTTCCCTTCTGTAATCAAATGGCATAACATTTCTGTCGCTCCCAGGCCCTGGAAAATCTATACGACGCGGTTTTGAAGGACCCGAAGAACACACAACGCCCTTCGTGGTGGAAAGACTTCAAGGAGAAGCCCACGAAAGGGTCTCTTCGCGTAGGAAGCAAGTTATAATTAATGTGCAGCAAGAACTACCATGGATAGACGATATAACCGAATATTCAAATATAGATAGACAATAACCGAAATTCAAATATTTATGGCTTTCCAAAGGCTTTATCACCCCATAATACGAAACTTAAAAATGAAAGACAATACCGTGATGAATATTTGAGAGCGAGCTATCAGGCTTTGGCGCCAATGCAGACTGTTTTCTATTTATGATTACCAAATCTGGCAGCCGAATTAATTAATTTCAGAATAATTTTATTAAATAGTCTAAACAACAGAAACTTTTAGAACCTATTTAGTCATGCATCTTCACAGATGCAAATTCGATTCTACTGTGACCATTCAACAATTGGGTTCATTTATTCCTAGCAAACGCGTAACCAAGTCTCGTTATTTTCAGTCAGTCCTTGCTTTTGCGATTTTGTCACTGTTTCGTTTACGATTTGCTACGTTCGTCTGAGTTTTCCTCGTGTACTTAAATCGTTGAACAAGATTACAAGAACACGATACAGCTCCTAAGAATCGCATGTTTACCTCATTGGCGTTTCTATCAAGTTAAACCATAGGTTAAACTAACCAACGGAACTGATAATTAATAAACTACATTACAAACTTACCGCAAATCGATGTTACCAACAGATTGTACCATAATTGAGCACCATAAAACGGAGCTTTTTACGCCTTTGCAATGAGGAACGTCGTCGTTTTAATGTAAAGCACGATGCATTATGATGAATAAACATTCAATTAAACAGAGACAGAGTGCTAAGCGTTGTAATTAATCAAAAAAATGAATATAACAGCTTTGACGTGCCCATTGTTTTATTGTATTCTTGTTGTTGTTCAGCACAATACTTTTTAAAGATGAGTGCCCACGTTTCATCCAATGATCCAGCCACAATTCTGTCATTGGCATTTCTACTGCTTTATTTTCATGGTCCAAAACCCACCAGTTCTCCGCACACCAAAGACAAAGACATGAAAGTCATGATAGTTTTTACGTGTTTCCAAAAGCAAAGTTCGTCTTGTTATAATTAGGCCAGTTTTTCTTCTTCGAGTGTGTTTCAGATTTGATGTTTGGTTTAGATAAGTTGCCCTATCTTATACGCTTTATCCATGGGAGTGACACAGCAAACCGCGAGTTTTGTAACCGCCAAGCATAAAACAAACCGATTTGGTCGATGTTACCGCGAGTTTTAATTCCAAACGGTTTTATACACTTTCGACTATATATGCCTATCGATTTCCACACAAAACAAACACAAACTCCCAATGTAATAGACAACAACGTACAGTTTATTGAATATATATAAAAATATTTTTACAGTCGTTGATGCGGAATAATCAAGCCCACAAAGAGAGGACAATATATGTTTTTCGATTATATATATTTTTATACAACAAAATTACAACATTGATTATGTAACTTCTGAACATTATTTCATTTTCTGTGATGTAATATACACTAAACTAACCGCTACATAAGGTTATGACAACAGCAAGAAGCTATCGGCCAAAACAACTTCATTTTTTGTTTCATAAATTAAGGGTGTATTTTGTAGTTGTGAAAAGGTTTGATTTCAGCAGTTCAACAATGTGTGGCTTTCCTAAGCTTTGCATGTCCCCAAAAAGGGTAAAATTCAAGCATTTCTTAATACTATGTCTTGCGAAATCCAAGGACTACCAGACATTAAACAATTGAAACTAATATCATAGAACACTAACATTCAGCTCTGGTGATTATTCAGAAATGGCTGTCATTACGAATATTATGAAAATGTGAATTTGCAGACTTTCGAAAAGTTGTTTATAAATATGGGTCTTTTAAAACCTTGTATTATTACTTTCAATTCAAGATTGGCATGCATATACGAGCCCCAGACTCCCGGTTGCTTAGTTGAGACACTCGTTTTAAATAATGCTTAGCTGCTGTTGTCATAAACCTTTTCATAAGAGACTACCTAAACTAACCTACGGCTACGATATATAAACACCGACACAATATCAATTTGAAATCATGTTTCCGACACGTGAACTTCGTCAGAAAGATTGATCAATACATTTTATCATTAATAAATTCGTGTATATATTATACTGGTCAAAAACGCGGACACAAAATATGAACCAGAACGGCTCAACCACAGTGTGCCGTTCAAAAAGCTCACGGGCTCATGCTACAACAACCGCTGTATCGACAGAACGTGGGCTCAACATACAATACCGCTTACCTAGGAGTTCGCAGTCAAGAAAAAACCTCGATGACACCGCAGCTTCAAAAACCGCTGGCTCAAGCTTCGATAATTTGAGGCAGTTCAACAGTCGCCCGTATGAAGATGGCGTCATCGACAATGTATTTGCGCGCCCGAATTGTGTCATGGGATGCGAATTGTGGGTAACCAAAACCGGGGGTGTTGGAACTCTTTTTAGGCCGATGGAAGCTCGTCCACTTGGGTCTGGCGAAAAATTCTGGCTTATATGACGTTGCTTACTCGCGTCTGAGGATTGCTCGATCAACGTTAGCGAAATGTCTCCGAGGAAAGGCCACTTTAAGAGAGAATCGTACTCTCCGACTAGCAGCCGAACGTACAGCGAGAGATGCGTCCCCTCCCCGCTCCCGTTGCCGTTCGGGAAGGCAACGATCATGAACTTGTACCCATACTGATCTGTATAAAAAGGTGGACTGTGTATTTCGTAGCCGCTAATCTCTTTAGCGGTCTCTAAGCACGCCGAAAATTTTTCGATTTTCCACAAAAGCTGACCTTGGTTAAACGGCTTGCAGTGTTTTACAACAGCCTGTAGCTCGTTGATTTCTTTCGATTGTTTGACAGACAACTTACACATGAGATTCAGATGTTCCTTCATCTTGTTCTCCAAATGACGGTTTATATTGGATCGGGGACACTAAATAAGATAAGGAAAAATCGAATCACGAGTCATATTTGTAATTCTAATACATGCTTCAAAGATAACCGGTGATAAACAATGCCATTCATGAAAATCTTTTCCACGAGTTTTGGGCTGAAATATTTCATCCCAAATATAGCCTCCCAAGTATATTTCATTCTATATCCAATAGAACGAAAATAACTATTCTTTATATTACAAGACTTCAGGCAGCAAACTATTTAAATTATCCTTGAGTTTACTAGCCATATACTTCTATGTTTACACAAGAAAATCTTCTATTTGTTTATCAAAAAAATTCGTGTTTATGATAACTACCTTATGGCCACATCCAGCGAATTTAAACGGACAGACTTCCAAAATCGCAGAACAATCGGTCGTGACATGACGGTTGATCTGCGAAGGACACAATGAGCAAATATTACACAAAGTACTTGATTAAATACTTAAAGAAGCCCAACATAAAAATGGAATGAAATATTTCGTCTCTGTACCTCTTCTCGTGGAATCTGACGAACGCCACAGCTATTCGGACAACTCAGAGGGAACCTTGGACAATCTCTGAGGTGCTCCTAGAAGAATGGATTGGAACAAATGTTTATTTAACGTTTAAGAAGAAAATAGTAACTAAGTCCACTTTACTCAGGTAATATATTATATTACGGGATTGAATACAATTCGCAGAAAGACACAAACTCGAGACATCCTGTATGAAGCATACTCAACAGCACTTCGAGCTCAGAGTTTAAGATCTACGAAAAATCTATCTATTGAAAGAGCGTCCTTTATTGGTTAACTATGTTAGTAAGTTGGTCAAGGCAATGGAGCCTTTGGTAAGGATTTCTGATTCTAACCTGTAGTTCAGAATGGCCAACTTGTTTGTTACAATACTGACAGAGCGTCAACCGTTTCGGACACTCTTCGGACATGTGTGTCGTGATTTCCTCGTTCGCCATCAGAGCACCGCAGACACACGTGAACAGCTCGCGTTCCGTAGAGGTCTGGGGCGGAGGGTTATTCGAAGAGCCCATGTAGACGACCTGACTTCCGTACTCCGGTCGCCGACGCAGCGGCGGGGTCTGGGACGGAGGAGGGGAATCCGGGAGGTCTGGGGCGGTCTCTTCTTCTTGCAAGGTTTCCTGGATATTTATCTCACGTCCGAAAGAAGAGTTGCGAGACCTGCGTCGATTGTGATTGTGTCTCTTGTTTCCTGAATGGAAGAAAATGATTTTAAGATAAGAACAAGGCGAGGTTCACCATTCCAAGAATCAATTTTCAATTCAGAATATTTCAGATAATTTTTCAAAAGCTTGACCAGTCGAAGCGTGAGCTCGATAGATGGAACCTGGGGGTAAGTATGAGTATAATCAACGTATCCCCAAACGTACCTGTGGTTCCATGCCATTCCTCAATCCTTCGTTGTGGTATATCGGTTCTGCCAACGAAATTCAGCTGCGCGGGAACAGACGCGGCGCGCATTGGCTGGTCCTGGGACAAGCTACGGGGTTGATTAAATGAGTCATGTTTCGAACGACCAAGATTCTTGATATGTTGACGTAATTTACTCGCAGTCGAACTGTTTTCTGATTTGCCGCAAGATCGGGAATGTTTCTGTAATTGCAAAATAGTCAGGAATTGATCTAGTGTTACTACAGGAGGAAACCTAAACTTAACTAACTTTATTTATACTGGATATCTCTATCAGTTCTAAACTGTTCTTCCTAGAGGTTCAGTAAGGATAATTTCTTATTGATCCAGTGTTACTACAGGAGGAAACCTAAACTAAACTAACTTTATTTACACTGGATAGCTCTATCAGTTCTAAACTGTTCTTCCTAGAGGTCCAGTAAGAATCATCTCTTATTGATCCAGTGTTACTACAGGAGGAAACCTAAACTAAACTAACTTTATTTATACTGGATAGCTCTATCAACTCTTCTTACCTCATGTTCCTCGCGTGGAATATTCTGACGACAGTTTGGACATGATACGTAACGATTAGAGCAAAGATTACGAACGTGTTCTTCAAGTTGATTCCGCATGAGTTGCACCCCGCACTTGTTGGAACATTCAATCACACTGTGTTCACAAGTTGACAGGTGGCTCTGGATGGTCAGAAAAAAACACTTGTCAAAAAATATAGTGATAAAGTTGTTCTGCTATCAGACAACTGCGTTTCACTGTAGGCTTGGTTCATAGTTTCAAAAGTTCGGGAACAGATTGACAGCTTTTTGGTAGTCCGCCAACTTGGATAGCGTGAGCTTTATATTTAACCGATTACTGCAAGTCCTGGGAACTTTAAAGTGTTCTGAAATCACTGACGGAAAGAGAATCTGTAGTGCTATAAAATCTCAGTTGCATTCCATGTTTGTTTGCTATTTACTAACGTTATTTTAATTCGCCACATAAAATGGCGAATGGTTTCGCCACATAAAATGGCGAATGGTTTGACGAAAAGATGACGTCATTTGCAGGATCGCAATACGGAGAGGAAGATGACACGTTCATATTTTTACCTTCAGCTTTCTCAAAGGTCCTTTCCACTTGCAGCCTTGGCTGCAATATCGACAGAAGACTGTCAAAGACTGGATCTTTTTACCAGACGATTCATCGAGATAGACCTGGTTTAATAGGGATACAGAAAATCAGAAATAAATAACACTCTAGAAAGTTTTCAACACAGGTAACATATATGGAAATAATTGTGTAAAAAGCCAAGTTCAATATCTGAAAAGCATTCAAAACAAGTTTATGACGATATCGGTCATCATAACAACATAAAATGCCCATATATAGCGACGTAAGGTATTGTTCTTTCAGACTCCGTCAGTTTTGGTTCTACAGAAGTGCATAAATCCAGGCTTCGTTTTGATAAATATATTTGCTATATTCAGTGTACTGTTAGATCAGTGAAGACCTCGGCGCGTCCAACGTGTGCCGGACCATACTGCTTTGCGAGCACATTTACCGAAAAAAGTGATATTATTAAGTGTGACACATCGGAGAGTCTTTTAATCAAGATGAAGAATATTGGACCAGAATGTTTATTAAAAAAAAACCTTCAAGACATTTATCCATACACGCAACAGTGTATAATATGCAAGTTTGGAGATTCATGCCTTAATTGTGTTGAGAGTTTTTGGATTCGAGAGACCTTGAAAAATTTTTGCTCTTTGATTCCACCCCACGCATGAAAATATTGCAAAATTTCAAAGCGAGAGGCCTCAAATCGTGACAAGAGATGTCTTATATTGCACTAGCGGAGTCTGACTAATCAGTTGAAATATTTCGTATCGCTTGCCAGAAAAAACAGGGGAAAATATACGAGAAAGAGTCTTTTGTCCTCAAGAGTATATAAGCCCGAGAGTCTAGTCATCTGGCCGTTACAACTATTGATCAGCAAATATGGCGCCGATACGTAGGTTGCTCTGCAATTACAATTGAGTGTCTTCCTAATTTTCGTTCCTTCTTCGCGCTAAATTTACCCATTTGAGCAATAAATAGCAAGTTGTGCAATACGTAATTACGCCCATGCGTTGGAACAGGGGAATAGAAAGCTCTGGGTCGAATATTTAAAAAGATCTTTTAACAAAAGTCTTTAGCAAAGATCGAGCAAGTTCTAAGCTTTGTATTAGATGCGAGGAGTCAGACTTTGTAAAATACCAATTCAATAGATTTCTATCGTAAAGTACCGCCAGAGTTAACTAGCTATATTAATTAATGAAGATGTTTTGTGTTTTGCAAGATATTCGCTTTGAAAGATGTCGGTTCTAAAACTGCTTTTATCCTGTCAAATTTGGACAATGAGTATAATTATTTCATTTACATATATGTTACAAATCTCATAATACCCAATATGTTAGCACAATCGCTTAATGAAACGACATCAAAAAGCAAACTATTGAATTGAGAAACACATAACTTCCTCACAAGCAAAATAACTTCACACCTCATTAGAAATTCCTTGTTTGTATCTAATACTCATTAAGCATACGAATCTCAAGGATCTATTCTTTGTTAAAGCGACTTAAAAAAGAGGGGCCAACATTTCTCTCTCTGAAGTTGCAAAACAATCGTCGAAAAGGGAAAATTGACGTCCTTTCCTTAAACACATTTATACTAGAATATGAATATGTACTTGCTTTATGAAGTATTATGGTAGATTACATATGTGGAACGACCAAGAGCTTTCTAGGTAGCTTAAACCTCGTTATGAACATTTGCATTTGGTCTAAAGAACTCTTTGTAGTAAATAACTTCAAGTCTTATGACTTCTAAAACAACTTTAATATATTTCAAAAGCAAAGGTTGCAAATAGTTTTCTCTTAAACTAAACAGATCATGGCTGTATCGATGGAAGATCTTGATCAACACGCTCAAAACTAGCTTTTTATAGAAACGATATTGTAATAGTCAACTATATTATAATATATGGATACATGTGACGAATTCGGAACAGCCACCAATTTCATGCAGCTTCAGTAAACACACTTTGTAATTACAACTATATTTGCTATGCAGCTAACATGCAGGAACCCACATGAGGAATTTCAAGGAATTTAGATCCCAGGGAAGTTATCTTGGCGGATTGTAGCTATCTGTATTTTTTAATACGTGTAATTCAAAAACTCCAAATATACAAACCGACAGCAGCTAAACACCTTACCCCAATGTTGTTTTCGATACACCACGAACGAACAGAAAGCATCTTTTAATCCCAAGAATAGAATCCAAAATAACACAGAGCTGAAACTGGAATGCACAAATAGCCAATGCCAATTGACCCTTTATAGGAAAAACTTTTTAACAGACGAGAGTTTTGAATCGGCTCTCGAATATCGACTTTTGGTATACGCAACGTATAGAGAGAGGTCAGTCAACTCTGTTCATTCAATGATTACCACAACGCATGCACCGGCTGGTTGTGTATGACCAAGGTGTTAAGCTACGGTGTATTTATACGGTGCAATACTGACTCGAGTGCTGGTGCGTTTCCTGATATTGTCTCTGTTTGTTAAATGCATATTAGCACGCTTCCTTTCCTAAGAGGATCAAGGATCTTTATATAGATGATAACAGCGCGCCCTTCAACAACGAGCAAATATATCCTTCAGCTTGTTCCGCAAATGATGCATATATCAGCTGTAATAACTGGTTAATATCACAATAACCTCGACTAATGACCTTCTAATAACAATACCCTGCCCCGAAAAGAATTTCTCAACAAAATCAAAAACTCCACACCTCTGAAAGGGATTTCCTTTCTACGCATTGCGAATTACGACAATTAAAAACAATTCCAGATGTATATTCATGCAAAATCTATACGTTTATAAAATTTAATTGTACTAAATTCATTCCTTAATTGTTACATATAATTTGGGATTCCATCAAAATTGGATTTATTAATAAAATAAACTTTATAATAGCTTCGTTTAACAATCAAAACTTTACAAACCTGACTATGCTTTATTACGTATAATCTGTGTTTGAATAAACAAGACATCACTAAATGTAGTTTATGCATTTACAGTTTATATCATATTCATAGTTTATATCATTAAATGTAGTTTAGTACGCATCTGCCTAATATATACTGGGGAAAGAGAAAGGTCCTCGTCTTCTCGATATTTCTTTCTGCGTCGTTTCGTCAACAGACTGAACAGGTACAAGCGTTTTTGACAAAGGCTATTAGTTCGAGACGACGAAACTCTTCCTGTATATTCTAAACAGGTGCCGAGTCATATTTTATGAGAAGTTATTTGAATGAGCCGGCACGCACGCTACTTTTTGTTATGTTTTAGTATAGTGTCACTAAGTGTGAACTTTCTACGGCGAATTGACGACAGAGCGCGACGATTTCCGACTCGACATTCTTCGTCGTAACATTCCAGTGTTAATCCCAGGAATTAACGATGTTAGTACGTCAAAACATCTCTTCCTGGTTTCCGCAGTAACAATTCGTTTTCAAAATCATTTCAGCGTTTCTTAATCGTCGTTTCTTAATGCATTACGTCTTTCCCGTATCGTCATAAACCACCCGCGGTTATCTAACCTAACACATCCTATTCTTACTGTCATGGATATTGCTAAATGATCTTGTAAATGAATCTAACATTGCAGATTGATCTAACATTGTGATATACCCTCAATTAAATATATCTCACTGAGTTTTACAGATAAGCGTGAAATATTATATCCCGTTCTCTGTGAGAAACAACCTCGAAAAGACAAAGCTCACAGGTCATCTGCCTCTTGTTGATATTTCATTATCAAGATGTCCTTGAAATTAGTTTTTGACTCCCCTTTCATGCACGCCATTTCCTTAACTTCCTTCAAGGAAAAATTTTCCAAGTTGGGGACTTTTGTATGCTAGCATAGCAAATACCAAGCAGGAACAAGCCTGTGCGGCGTAGAAAATTTTTCCGGGTTTCTGAGATCGGAATTTGAGAAGAGGGATTTACGCTCATGTCAAAAGTGCGTACACGGATGCGTCATCACGGCGAGGCTCATTGAGGTAGAGAGTATGTACCGGGCAGCCTGTATGACCACGCGTGGAAATCCAACTACAATAAATACACGCAGGAGCAACCCGCGGTAAAAACACGCGTCTCGCAGGGCTTCGGCTGATAGGGGACTGAGGACGAATCGGGCTACCGAAAATGCTTGATTACTGCGGGGTGACTAAAGGTGACCTTTGATCCACACAATCAGGGACACCCCAATTGTAAGATCCATGCTAATAAATTCTACCTGCCTTACCCTGGGTTTACTAAAATCTACAAATCAAAACTCCAACACCCAAATAATAAAGATAAAGTGATAAACATTTCTTAAGGTTCAATACCGATTTTGTGTCCTAAAGTTTTTATTTTTATGTAAACAACAAGAAGAAACACGTAAACAAGAACAGCATGCTAAAATTCGACCCATGGTCAGCGCTGATCAATCCACGGCCTACCGAAGCCGAAGTAAAAACAGTTCAATAATTTACCAGCGTTTAAATGCAAATGAAATGAATGAAAAGACGACCAAAACGTTGGAGACTGGTTTTGCTCCGGGTCATATTTTCCCGAGAACAAAACACAAATATAATGGTATTATTTGGTATGGTGTTTCAAGATTGCGTGACCATTCGATTAAATTTACGTCCATGTCTATGTAATGCCAGCTTAAAATTGATAAATGCTTGAATTACGGGAATAATCCTTGTGTTAAGAATGTAAAATCTATAAATACTTGCATCGACTTACCGAGAGAGGTAATTTCTTGTTTCGTGTTCGGCTGTCGTTCACGAATGCTCAATTTACGGTTCGTTATAATAATGCAAGCTGTGCTGATTTTTAAACGAGATAAGTTTCGAAGCTATAATGTTACTAATTTACTGCATGTGACATAATGACAGTAATTACTATAATGTCAGAAGGCACGGAGAACTAACGGTCAAGAGAAACGCCAAAAATATTCGTCTCGTAAAAAAAATTGCATCTATACCAAGGACTTTTTAATGTCATGCATGCGAGAGTACAGAATTTCGCTTACATCGAAGAAATAATTCTCACACAGATTTGAAAAGCATCGTTGACAGATATGAGTCGAAATATTTTCCGTATAAACAGCAAATGTTGTCAGCAGCCAAAGAGAAATATTCACCACATTCAATTCTCACAAAATATGCATATTTATACGCATGTATGCAACTTTCTTAGGTTAAAAAAAATAAAAATTGCAATTTTGTTACTGATTTACTGATATGCATGTCTGTTGATCGGTGGTACAAATTAATTTAACCCTCCCTAACCCTCAGGCAAAATTCCAAATGATTTAATTTAATATTTACGACAGGATCACGGAAGATTGCTGTAAACAAATCAATTCAACGGCGGCCATGTTGAATTGCACAACAAGAATTTACTGTTAATAAGATGTCTAAAAAGGTTCTACACGATTTTAGTTGTTAAAAGGAACGGAGAATGTTTCCCAGAAAGGAATTTTATTATCAATGGCATCCTATTCTTCAAAAATTTGCGGCTGATTGAGTGATACAACAATTCATTATGCCATGTTTAAAACGTTATAAAATTAATACTATGGTATACTTAAACCTGTATCTCAGATGATACATAAGAAAGAAGATATGCTTCACATCCGAACTAATTTAAAAGCAAGAATTAACTTAGTTCGTTATTTGACGCGTTTAATAAACACCTCCGGTTTCAAAAGAATTAATTTTACTCGACTAGACTAAGGACGTCGGGGAATGGCTAATTGCCAGAGGTTTTTGAGATTCCGGCTGAGCCTTTGTTTATATCGTTGATTAAGTTTTGAAAATAGTAGAATAAACTATAAAGTTCCCAGAGAAACGCAACAAACACAACCAGTTTTGACGTGAGATCTTTTGTATAGAATCACTAGAACTAGAACTACATTTTATAAAACTGACTATACAACAGTTTACACCAAAGAAGTTCCCTAAATCTGTACGCAAATATTTGCCCTCGTTGTAAAAAAGATATGAAGAATGCAAAACGCGGAGAGTTTTCTGTGTCACCCCGTGGCCACCCACTAACCGTGCGTTAAATTTTAATTTGTTATAATTTTGTTAAGTCTTTGGCCCACATGTGAAGAATATAATTGCCTTTCATTGTTCTGACCATCACGTTTGCAGTTTTTTATGCCAACAGCTATTCATCAGTGACAACGACAGGGTAAATTATATAAATATCATATACAACAAATTTAAAAAAAACACGATGATGTAATATAAACTATAACACCGTCCAATATCACAAGGAAGTTTTCCTCCTGAAATTTTCCTTTCTCGTGTAAATAATGAACTCGTTTTTAATTTTATTTGCCTGAATGTTCTCTCAAATAAAACGGGTTTGCCTCGCAACGTGTTTTTTTTCATCCTATAATATTAGTTTCTATCTTTCTTTAACAACTTTAATAAACTGAATTTGCTCTTAAACACGAATAAGCAGGTCGTCTTTCATGACTGGTTTTTGAACAAAGACCTCTTGCAAAGAAAGTATTTCGTCGCGTTGCCAAAACTTGGCAACGACACCTTGCCAAGAAAAAAATGCTAATCTTACAGAGATTATACTTTAGAGGCGTAGTTTACAATCTGAATGTCGAAGTTTGAATCATGCACGCATTATAATACAGCTTTGATGGGAAAGGAAACAAGTACATCATGCAGTAAACTACAATTCTGATATCTATCTACATACAAATTCAACGCTGTACGCGACCACCTATGTTAGTGTGTTTGCACATTATGCAGGGAATTTAACTTGATTCTTAGCATCAACACAATTTTCTCACCCTTTTGTAATAGCACCCAACTGTGTGATGTTGCATGAGCACACCAGGAAATGAATCTATATTAATCCGCTTAAAAAGATCAACTTTGTGCAAAAAATCTCATTTGGTTTGAGGTAAAAATTCTCATAAAAAACAATGACGTTAAATGGGCTTTTGAAGACAATTGAACGCGAAGAGCTTCACAAATCTACCGCAATTTATTTAACATTGCCATTTCCCAAACAGAGCCAAGTTGTACAAGGATTAAACACGCGTATATAAATGAAGTTTTTGACCGACTCCATGCATGTGAAGAGCTGTTATCTTCGAGCATGTTTGGCAAAAAAAATAACGAAGAAGTCAAAGAGTATTTATGCTCACAACCCGATCGTTTGTCGACTTGAATATAGCATAAACCTCTTCGTTTGAGAAGTTACTTTGCAAATTGCAAAAAGGTTCGCGGCGTCGTAACGGCCACGACAATCAAATCAAATGTAAATAAACAAAAATTAAATACTAGGAAAATATATACAACAAATATTTAGCCGTTTCTAACCTGTGAATGCTTGACTTCGAGCTGGTCAGCAGGGCATCGTAACTCCTGTTCGCTCCTAAAACAAAAATGCATGCATGTCAACACAGAGAAACTACGCAGTAACATTGCTATTGGCTATCAACAGCAGGCGATTGTCAAAACAACTCACATCACGCATGAACTCGCAAAAAAGGGCCCTAAACAGTTTCGCAAGCACTTGGAAACCTGTTTTCCAACCCAACTTTAGCCGTTTGCCGAAAGGATTTCAATTGCTGTTGCATGCCATAAATTTGACCAAAACTGTTACCACGAAGGTGAACCATGTTTCTCTTTAAACCCTGATCGAAATATGAAGATTTAAGATCCCGAAATTATAAATATACACTTCATTTTTTTAATTCTGACAGAAAGCATAGAGATTTTACCATGATGAGGTAACCTAAACATTGTAAGTACATAAAAAACGACATGACAGGCATTCAAACAATGTCAATATTAACATTAATCAGATTCTTCTCCAACACGCAACTAATGGACGCTGGATTAGAAAAAATGCATTTAAAGACCCCTACGAAACATTATATATATACTCAAAAGCCCTGTAGAATCTCGCTAGCCTAACAGTTAAAATTTACTACGTCTAAGAAACGTCTATGCTGATGTGAATGAAAAATAATCCACCATATTTTGCCTCAAGAGATACAAGATTTAGCATTAGCGGCATAAAAGTTAAATCCATTTGACAACACTGGATTATATTGTTTGTTCCTAGCCACAATAGATTTATTTTACTTTTGGTTAGTATATTAACTCTCTAACTGGCAACGAACCAAGATTGGTCCTGTAAGTTTTTGAAACAGAAATCCTAGAGAGACGATAATTTTGCAAAATTACAGTTTCAAATGTTCCTCCTGTAATTGAATTCAGTCCAAGTATTTAAAGATACAATTGTCTATTTTGATATTTTTAGTCATATTGTTGATGAAAAAACTTGTTTCTTTTGGAAAATCGGCTGTAAAGTGATTATTTGTTAGCCAATTTCCTAAGCCCCCTCAAAAATCACATTTCAAGCCACAAAAATAGTTCTTTTCAGGAGGATAAGTGACCTTGTTCACACCATAAGAAGATTTAAACCACAAAATATATTCAACCACACTGTAGGATGCGCTTTGCACAGAAGACAATTGTTGATGTATAGCATTTTGTGACATAGAAGTTTTAAATCAAATTGAATCATAACCTGTGTGGGGATAAAATTAATCTAATGAAGAAGGAAAATGCAATTTGATGAAGTGCGAATTTTCAATTTAAACAACCAAATCACCTGGGCAAACACGACTTCTGTACAAATTAGACTTGTATTCCTAATGCACCGTTGTCCTTCAACAGGACAATGCTAAAGATGAGCTAATGTGATCAATGGAGACAGAAATTTTTCACCTGTCTTCATTTGAGAATAGTGCTTTCAGTCTAATCCAAGAAGGAGCCAATAGAATCTAATGCTTGACAGACTAAAACTGTTTGCATCGCCGTAATTGGGTTGCGGTTTATGCACAAACACATTGTGCAGATACGGAGCCATTAATCCATTAATCAGTGATGCACCTAACTTAGTGAAATGTTTTTGTATGAATCTACCAGCTGGTAATTGTTCTGCTTTATCATTGTGGTCTGTCAAATAATTTTACATATAATGTTGAAATGCAAGCCAACTGTACTAAAGCTATAAACTTGGTATTCTATCATTTTGACTTTTTATGTGTAAACTTTGGTCAATGTTTTACATTAATCCAGCTTCAACAAAGACTGTTCGAAATATATAGTTTAACGAAATTATCACCATAAAATCTTAAACATGAGATTTATGCAGGCAATTCATTCGAAATAGCAGGGTCTCAGTTAATAGTTATGTACAGTAATCAGGAAGTACTGTACATAACTGGTACTGACTTAAAAATGCAAGAATTGATTGATGTTGATTGCTTCAAAGTCCTCTTAATATCTCTTTCTTGATATGCGAGCAATGGAGTCCCTTAATACATCTGATTCTAACCAGATGTCTATTGTTTAAATTTCTGCTTGATCGTATATTGAGAAATAGCTTACTTTGCAGTTCCAAACCCAATCACAGCATGTTAATACAGAGGTGGCTATATCCGAGGGGTGTCCTTAAAGAGGAATTTTGCTTTCGCATCATCAGACTATAGATACAATATCAAGATACCCCAGTTACATCTGTGTTTTCCTTCCCAAACTTCGGATATTGTTTGCAATAAAATCTCAAGTCAATATTTTTATAGCTAAATAATTCAGCACTTCTATAACACACCTTTATGAATTTAATGTGGTTAAACCCACACACATCTTTCTGATTGTTCTATGTGGGTGGTTATGCATACTTTCTGTCAACGCCTGATATAAAATACCCACATCCCATTAACAATAACCTCAAGAAACACTTTGAAAATACAAACTTGAATAATACGAAGACCTTAATTCTCCCAAATAAGGATTTAAATGCAGCATATAATAGTTTAACGAACTATACATTGGATTGGGAAGCTCTAAAGCATGTGATAATAAGTTTTTAAGCGAGGGAAACGCTTAAGATTTCCACTTATTTGCCGTCAAATAAATTATATTCTCGAAGGACGTCGACCATTCATTGGAATTAACATAACACTTTCCCATGACAATTACAAAGCTACCCCTAGTTTATCTCTGACCTTTAATCATAATTTAAACGCGCTCAAACAAAAGACCGAAAACAAAAATAGCTTTCTTTTTGTTCGGTATTTGTAGAAGGAATATATCTGGCCATTAAACTAACAAACGACGTACTTTAAAGCAACGTTTTGCGAGCGGAAAATGTTTGTAAACAATATCGCAAGGGCAGAGTCGAAATCAAATTACACAAGTAAAACTACTCGAACAATTATAAAAAGATCACGAAATTTTACCGATCACACTAAAAGACTAAAGACAGATAAATTATCTGACATCTCACATAGTAAAACGACAGGACAATCGCACAATTCCGGTTTATTCAAAAGGTATGCGTTCATGCATTCGATTGCTGCTTAAAAAACAATATAAACGATTTACAATACAAGTGTTTGAAATATAACTTTAATGCTCAACTCTCCTATCAGACTTTGTATAACACGGTAGCGATGTTTTGTACGTAAAACTTACGTGAAGGGTTCAAAATGATCGTTTAGGCAGGATTCACAAAATCGGTGGCCACAGGACGAGATCTGTACTGGTTTTCTTAAAGGCAATCCGCACAGACCACAAAGTAGATTCTCTTTCACCGGACTACAAAAATTCGCATCAATCCCTGGCATATTTCAGCTCCGATCGCCGCTTTCTCGGCCACAAAATCCTCAACGATTCAACTCAAATTGTAGACCGTATCTCATTCTCTCCTTCTCGAAGGTTTCTAACGTTTTCTTTCACGGTAAAATACCTTTTAAATCGACAAAAACACTGCTGTTTAATACAACCAAATGTTGAACGTATTAAAGTGGAATGCTTGAGCAACTTTAGTCTTCAACATCAATTTGCATACATTATGTTAAATAGTCACATGGTTCGTTCTGGAATGCCGGAATTTATTCTGTTTTGCATATTTCCCGGTCAGCATTCATTGCTACACAAAACCTTTACAATTTCAAATAACCTCTCAGACCAAACTTTAATTTACGCCCATTTCCCTTACCTTCACGACCAGCTCGATACGAATGCATGATACCCCGCGACTGACATGACATTTGCCACGTACGGATTTTCGCAGATCGCCGTAATTTATTCAAGCTATTTTTACTTCCATAATTACATTAGATGTATCTTGTTTATCAGACTATCACTATCAGTATCAGTTTTTGTCAGTTTTAAGCAGGAAGTACCAGCTAAAAATTCCACGACACTTTGTTCATAGATATCTCTGAATCAACTTAATTAAACTCTCAGTCTGTCGCTAAACCATTGTTGTTGTATCGACGTCTGTGCAAGCTTACGGATGCGCGGTCCCCACACTTTCCGCCTCATAAACGCGTTATCAAAATGGTCCAAGCTTTGATCAAACCTGACCGTTGTGAATGTGAATTTCAGAATTTTATTATAACTTCTATATTACAATATACTTGCTCGTGCATGCTTTAAATACAGTATACTCAATCGTTTATAGTCTTTGAATATATCTCTAAGATAAATGCCTGAATATTTTACCACGGGAGGTACAATTAAAGCGCTTATTGGATATAGCGCTACAAAGGCCTGTTAAATCCAGCTTTCGAATTATCCTTTAAGATAGACAAGAAAAAATACAAAGTATCGCGTATCACAAAAGTAGTCGCGCACCAACTTGGGTGGCTAGATCCTCCTTTTTGTTAAACCATTCGCAACAAACCAATGTTAATTTATTTACTTTGGTTGCATTCATTGTTTGTTTGCCACCCAAAATGGCGGAAGGCTACAATTACGGATAATGATCACAGCTGCAAGGCCGCATACTAAATTTAATAAACTATAAACACTGGGATAAGCTAAAGCGTTGTTAATTACAGGGGGGACGGTGCTTAGACCGGTACAATTGTGGGACAAGGGTGAAGGGTGCTCCATGCGTCCCCCAGCGATTCTCTATAGTCAGTCGTTAGACACAAGTTTTAAAGTACCAATGCACTGAATGAGAATCCAGTCGGTATGCAGAGGCTGAGGAAGATACGAATTTTACACCAAGGAAACAAACAACAACATATACATACTTCTATGTCCTGCATAAAAGCCGAAAATATCTACAAATAAAATACTGGAAAACGTTTTTCAGAACAAATCAAGCTTCATGGCTCGCTCATGCCATCGCAGTCGACGACAACTTTGATGAAGATTGTGTCATCCTTGAGGTAATTCCGCGTATCGACGTCATCGTGGCGGACAAATTTTGCGCCGCCAAAGCTGGCGTTCTTTTCCATCCTTGGTCGCCCCAGGAACGGTTCGTTCTCCGCGCATGGATTGGGTTTGATGCTGAACTTGATGTGTTTACGTTCACTTGCGTCGTCATTTTGATCAAGGAGAAAGAATGTAACTCGGTAATCAAATGGCCATTTCAAAAGAGCATCGTAGGCGCCTGTGAAATAATGAAACTTGCAGCTCAAGTGAAACACTCTCGAAAATAACCCGAACAGATTCTAAATTTTGCTTCCAGAATTTAATTTAGGTGCAAAACTAGCAGTTTAAACACAAAGCTATTTCATTCGGGCTCTGAGAATAATTTTCTTGGACGAAAGACGGTTGTTATTTGATTATATTTGTTTGCCGTAGCGCCAAGTCGAGTCAAAACATGGTCTGAAACTGGCCCAAAATTTTTGCCCAATACTAGGTATTTTTAAGTCTACAAGTACTCTCAAATTGCTTCTGAAAGGACCATTCTTCTAGCAAAATCTTTCAGGATTTGTGTCAATGATAATTCTTACTCACTTACGCTTATCTTAGCACATAATTGACAACTAATAGTAGCCTTGAAATACGCCAAATTTTAACCACCTGCCCGTGCTTTTCAGCCTCTCTGAAGTTCGCTATTATCACTTGACTTGAACGCCTTACCTTTCAAAACACTGACGAAGATTGACATGTGAGTTCCTTTGCCCTTGCCGTCCCCGTTCAGACAGACGGAAGCGCACAGCCTGTAGCCATGTTTGGATGTCGTAAAAGTCGGACTGAAGAGCGTCTCCAAATTTCCCGCCTTCGACTCCTTGAGTTTGCGCGCGTAGTCCTCGACGCGCCAGATCATCGCGTTGTGCGCGATCTTCTCGAGATCTCCCACGCGGCGGTCCATGTCTTTGATCATGTTCACGTGTTCGACAAGGTTTCCATCGTGCTTGTCCAGCCGTTCCTTGTTCAGCATCGCGAGCCCGTAAATAAGTTTCACGTGATTGATAATTTCGCTTTTGTAATGTTTGGGTAGTTTCTCACGGCTGCACTGTAGAAATAAGTTAATATAGTTCAGGTTTTGTTTAGTTCATATTCAACTACACTGCTTATGAAAAACTCTTGATAAATGCAACATTAATCTCGGAAATGTTAGCCCTGAAATTATATCAATGTTGTGGCAAGAATTACAGCCCGCCTCCCTAAACTGTTGCTCTACAATCCCGTTGTCGAATGAATTCACGCTATATCGCTTGTTTCTGAAGAGAAAAAATGAATATGCTTCTTTCGACAAGGGTATAGACAAAATTCGTAGTATACTTACTCGATGTTCGCAGCCAATGCCTTCATAATCACAGTTAATTTTTGTTTTTGGACAATTTTCTTCAATGTGCTTGTCGAGCTAAATAAAAGCAAAACAGCTGTGAAAACAAGCAAGCACCTTGTCCTTGTTAAGCCGAGGTAAGAACTTCCTTTTCCTACCAGGATATGACCAGAAATGACGGTAAAGAACTGGAGCTTTTTGTCAAATAAAAATCCATTTCTCGGTTGAAAGCGAGATATACGACGACCGAGATTCTTCCCAACACAAAACATTTCCTCACCTCATCTCTCGGAATGCTCAAAGTTTTGTCGCATTTATTCGGACAAGGCAGTGGGATTTTAGGGCATTCTTGGATGTGCTCCTTCTTATCTTCTCTCAAATGTCTATCATCGCAGTAGGAACAAGCGATGATCTTTTTCGGACAATCCTTGTCAAGATGTTTTTGCAAGAATCTCTTCTGGAATTTTGCCCCACAATCGTTGATGCAAAGGATGTCGCCGTATTCACAGTTCTCCAAATGTTCCTGTACAAGAAGACGACGTTATTTAAAGAATATTATCGAGACTGTATAGCTCCTTATAAACTGTGAATATTGGCAAAGTAAAATGGAAAATATCAAACCTGTATTTGTTGGTATTCGCCTTCCCATTTGCAGCCCCATTCATGGTTGGAGCACTTCACCTCCAAAGCAAGAATTTCCTTATTGAATGCTTTGTCGACCGTTGCCTGAAGAAGTTCGAATAAAATATTTTATCAGAATATTCTTGAAATTTTGCATGTTGAATTGATGCATAACTTCAATCATCAATTTGTAGGAACACCACGTGCATTTGTTGTAGATACAGATCTTCCCCTTAGGCCTTCATAAGTGCGATTAACTTTGTTGCCGAGAAAGAGCAGTGAACTGGAAGGAGAGATGGGGAAGAACGGGGATAGAGAGGAAGAAAAGGAAGATAGTGAAAGAGGGTGATGGAGAATAGCTCGTTTATTGCGAAAGAACTTCTGAAGGGTACAGTGAAGTGCATCTTCAAGCGAAGTCGAATTGTTGCTCGAGTATAAAAGTATATATATAAAAGTATAAAACATCAACTCACTGAGTCAACGTCAATCTTTCCGCGGTCTACAGGGCATCTTCTGTTGTCAGATCTACAAATATTGAAAAAACAGCCAGAAGTAATTAAAGTCGGCATATTAAAGATATAAAGAATCAAACGAGTATCGTCTATGATATTAACATCCTCGTGAGAAGCCGCTAGCTTCGGCCGGAAACGGTGTTAAGATCACAGGTAATAGAAACTGATCAAAAAACTTCCTATCAACTATGTTACAATACGAACCAATATAGGTTAAGCAGGTGAGCACTTCGGCGAAATTTCAATTGCATGCAATGACGTTTCCAGTTTTAATGAAAAAAAACGCGAGAGAATGTGAGAGATAAGCCGCGAAAAGTCGATAATTTTGAAGAGTAGTATATAAAGTGACTCGAAAGGGTATAAAAGTAATCTGAAAATTCGAGGGAGCTTCACGATTAACAACGGCAATCTTGTTTTCAATTCAAATCCGTTCAAGTAATCAAGATAGCTTGATCCCGGCCGATTAACAATTCGTTCATATATACCGAAAAGCTAGAGTGTTTTCAGAACGTTAAGAGCGGCACCTATTTCTCTTTAAAATAAATATTTATTAATAATTGAATTTAAAGGTTCCTAACAAATATTAATCCTATTTAATGCATTTGACAACTTACACAAAATAGCTGCTATGAAAAGGCAAATAAGTACGTTAGGCCGAACCTCAAGTTTCAACAAACCTTTGTTGTTGTCGAGGGTTTCGTGAAAACGTTTTGAATAAAAAAAGACATCTGATCATGAGGTAATTTTCATATTCAACGGCTTAGCGAGGCGATAGCAATTAAAACATTACAACATGTATTATCCAACGTATACATTATATAATAATCATTGAATTACAAAGATATTCTACGGCTTCTTCATCTATTTTCAAAGTATTTTACTCCGAAGACTGAAGTCATAAATTTGAAATGGCTATGTGTGTCTTGTTTATGCCGTTGACGCCGTTGTCAATTTAATTCTGTGCCGGCCTCGCGAATCTAACAGTTTTGAGGCTTTTCTTCGCTTAGTAAAACCGATTACCTTCGGAACGATTTGAAGGTTTTCTTTACGTTCAAGAATCGAGAGGCTAGCTCCAGTCAAGTTCACAAACAAAAGAAACTTTATGCCAATATCTACGTTATTTTGCTTCATTCAAGCCTATATAGGCCTTGTTTGGATCGAAATCTTCATTTTTGGGTAAGGTTTCAACCAAAATTAATGGCAAAGGAAACTTTTCTTCCCATTCAGAGCAACCTTTGAGACTTTCCCAACTGGGAACTGGCACTGAAGGTGATCTGCCAACCCGTATAAGGCTAGTTTCAAAAAGCACTATTTTGCGTGACTTGGACTGAAAGGTGTCGTAAATGAAGTCACATTTGAACTACATTGAATGAGCCTACCTTTTTATTTCGGTTTCAAAACAATGCGAGCAGACTCGATGACCACATTCTTCAAGCAAAACAGGGTATCGGAGAACTTCATCGCACGAAGGACATTCGTATTTCTTTTCCAACGGATAAACAAACAGCACTTTGAGACGTTCCTTCAAGAACTGCGGGATAGGACTTACAGACGACTGGCTTCGCACACTTCCCAAGCTATCGGTGATGCTGTTTCGACTGCCTTTTGATTTTGAGCTTTGAACACTTTGTTGGCTGCCCGTCATACTTTTCTAGAGTTGAAAAAAGACGGCTTTGATCAGTCAAATAGGACAAACACGCGAGGGAAGAAAATTTTAAAACGCCTTCTTCCCTATGTTGTCATTCAAGTAGTACCCGGCAACGTTGCTCAGGCTAAGGAATATTTTTAGCCATCAATTTTGTTGAATAATTAATGACGGGAAAATTTACATTAAACGAACTTTGACGGCATTTTCGAAAGCCGTTGAGAACAACTTTGTTCGAAGAAGATATATTCTGAATAGGGCATTTAAACTTGATAGGCTTATAAGACCTTTTGTTTTGACTGAAGACGTATTCTATAAGGCAAAATTCTGCCTGCAAATTGTCAAATAAACACTATTTATGCAGCTGCATTGCCTCTGTTATATTCCTCATTAATGCAATATGTGGAAAGACGGATCGTTTATTGAAGCACCTGCATGTAGAAAGAACCGGTTGCCATAATATAAAAACATTGTGGGTGAGCTAGAGCGCTGACGATTGGCGCTGCTTCTGATTGGTCAATACTGAAGCTAGCATGCAGTTTGAGTTAAGGCTCATTAATTTTATACACTTGCGATTTTTCCCGCGATTTTACGTGCTATTTTCTTCCTTTGATAGATGTGAACGAGTGAATTAGTTACTGATGTTCAAATAAAGGCGGTGTTACACTATGCAACTTTCCTTGCAACTTGCAATGTAATTCTACCCCTGAGGCATCTAAAGTTGACAAATACGAACATTTCTTACGATCTGCTAACGTTTTCTTAGCATTTCGAACACTCTTTACTAATTAACATCCCTCGAAATTATAATTGCATTGCCGGCAAGTTGCAAGAAAAATTGCATAGTGTAACATTCGTAACTTATCACTCGTTCACAAGAAGAAAATCGCACGTAAAGCGCAGCAAATTCGCAAGTGTAAACGAGCCTTCTTTACACAGTCAATTACAGAATAACACGTTTAAAGAAACCGGCAAATGATACCCTGAACCTTGGCTGGTCTAAAACCTGCCCGTCAAGTTGACTCGTGTCATTTCCAATTTAATTACAATTGTAGGATTGTTTGAAGTTTCGACGATTAAATTTTCAGCGATCACGATAGGAATTTTCATTTCTACGGCAATAGGTAGACTCTTAGGTTCAAAGACGTTGTAAAAAAGTGTAAATTTCACCAGCTGGCCATGGTCTCTCAATTTTTGCAAAGAACCTTGAAAGCTTGGTTGCGCTAGACTTATATGTTCTAATGTAACCATGTACATAAAATCATGTGAAATAATTATGACCGTGTTATACGTGACTTTATGGCAATATCTCTCCAGGGGACAGGTCCCTAACTGTATATTTTGCATAGTTAAATCCTAGTTAACTCAGAAATACACGACTCTGATTGGCCAATTCTGTCCTTAACTACAGTTAATAGTTAACCAGTCTTTTACACAATCCGATGCCCCTTATATCCCGACGATCCGACGCCCCTTATATCTTGCCCGCGGAAAAGTGCGGCATAGCTTTCTTCTGTTTGTATGTATGCCATGATTAGTTACTAAGTGACTCACTAGGAAGGTGATATATTTGTTTTTTAATTAAAAGGCATATATTATATTTTCATGGGCAGCTATGAGACCTTGTTTAATGAAGAAGAACAGTGTAAATGAAAAAAATATATTTGCCGGGTTTTTTTCTGGAGGTCAGTCGAACACACTAAAAAGTGACAACGATTGCTTCCTTACATGGCCATATCCTACTTTGCAGAAAGCAACGTTTCCCAGCAATGCCTGCTTCAGTCGCGAAGGGGCATGGGTGCAAACTACTAGAACACCTTCTCAGAAACTAGAAAGATATCATATCTGCTTAAAATTGACATCCGAACAAAATGATTCAAATTCTCCTCATATCGGGCAGCTGTAAATGCGTGCAATGCCAAACGTTTCCAATGACGTTTGATAAGTATTCATTTCATCTGTCAGTCCGCGTGTCAACAAAATAGGCCTCCAGTCATTTCTGGCAATTATCAACGAAGCCATCTACGACCAAACCTGGGTTTAATTTACTGATTTTCAGATAACAAAACCAATCTTGTTAATCGTCTTTGACAGGTTTTTCACGTTCAGTTACAAAGCGATGTCGGCATACTGATTTAAGCAAAGGAATTTAAATAACACGACATAGCTATATATGCTTTTTTCTCACCTATTTTCAACGGTTTGCATTGAAGCATTTTTATTTGTGTGCATGTACATTGTGAAAATCGCCACATTAAAATCATCCTAAAACTTGAAATTTGAATTTTAATGACGTTTAAAAAGTACTACGGATATTTATATTTAATTCAACGTCATCGGTTGAGTAATTGATGTTTTATTTCCAACATGCAGAGATGAGTTATTTGTTTCCTCTAAAAAAATCGACAGAGTGGATTTTAACGGAGTTAAATGAATGGTATGGATAAAAATCGTTCCGATCGACACCTGGGATATTTAGCTAAGATGTTTGCAGTTAGCCAGGGTCTCGCTTCGCCTGATTGCAAAACGACGCGCTTACTTCAGCTGTCAAAAAAACGCTTGAGAGTTCATGTAGACGCTTGTTCGCTCACCTGTGGAGTGGGCGATGAAATTCCATTTTCTAAGTTCTCCAATTCCTGGTTTACCATTCCTTCATCGTCCGATGCGGGGATCTGTTCGTTTTCAGAGTCGCTCATCTCGCTTCTATCTGGCATAACAAGTATACGTCGTCCTTGATTTGAATTAACTGCAGCTGAACCTTGTGCTTCGCTGCCTTACGGCTATGAAACTGCGCAATGAAATAATTGCGAAAATGATGAATAAATTTGGAGCCCTTGAAGAAATGTGGGCTAAATTGTTTACGGGGGGTTGCGCTAAATTTATCTACGCGTTGATACAAATAGGCTTCAGTAAATTGAAATCCAATTGTCGACACAAAATACGCGTAAACCGATGCGAAACTAACTCTCGAACTGCATTCAAAACGACGGAAAAATTTATTGTTCATCTTTATTTGGATGAAGTAAATTTAGGAATTCGTTTCCTGCTGCACTTCCCCCCTGAATGGAAGTCGATTTCATCTTTTGCCACCTGTTTCTTAGTGCTTATTTGTCCAATGAAGTGCTGAAGTCGTAACCTGTGGGTACAATGTTGGCATGGCAATAATACAAATTGTAAAACAGCGGTCATATCAGTTGCCATGCATCAGGAAACAAATGAACTCCAACGGTACACCTCGATTCGTGCGCGTGGTAAAGAAATCTTCAAAATTCGGATGGTTTTGACTGAGGTCTTAACATTAACTACGCCAAGAAAAAGACAGTTGTTTAATCTTTTATTATTGCTTGTTTTGTCGATTACAGGTCTTTTGTTCCTTAATTTGAACAAGCAGCATAGAATATATGGCTCTTTATTATAATTGCTTTAAAGAAGTGGACGATTTAAATAAATTAGTGCAGTGAGCATCTGGATGGCTCAAGCTATCCCCTCGTCCAGAATTTAGCAAAGGACGGATCCATAATTTTGGCTGACTGATGCGATATTTTGAACCATACTGCTGTGCCTCTAGGGGGTCCATCAACAGTGGCGTAACTGGAACGATAATTGCGGGGGGTTGCTTGTTGGATATACACACATTCATTCCTGAATATTCATATATTCACTTCTAAGTGCAATAGCTTACAATGTAAATCCGTCGGGCAAAACTGAATATAAGAATAAGTCCATATTCCGGAAGGTTCGACCTTACCAAAGTCGAATATACCACATTAACTGATTATTGACCGATTATAACTGAGCGTGAGGTCTTAGTATCCAAAAAATCTTGGTCTGATATTTCACAGTACAGACCGAACAAGATAGGTGAATAATCGGTTTATTATATGGCTGAGCCTGAACTGCATGAGATTTCGGGGATACTGGTCCAGATACGGAATATATACGGACCATGGTATGGGTTTTGGGTTTATGGGTTTTGCGGACCGGTCGCCAATCAGAATAGAGGATCTTGAAAAGCCACATAATAATCTGGTACATTCGACCTTGCCGAAGTCGAATATACCATATTCCAATATATTCAACATCCACTACCTTTTATCATGTCAGAGTGTTTACCTTATCACAGGCTAGTTATCCGCGGAGCGTAGGTAATAAAACTCTGGTTACGAGTTTGACTAGTTATCCGTTTTGCGCATATCCATGGGCGAATAGACCTTTCCTATTTTAGCTTTCAAGCGCGCGCGCAATGCGTGACGGTAGTTGATTATCGAGGTCAATTTGCGTTGTGATTTCGCCATGTTCAGGAGCGACTTAGTTTAACGAAGAAGCAAAAACAATCGGCAGGGTTTTCGTACAAATAAAATCGCTTCTAAACAGAGCGATATTGCAACTCAAAGTTGCTTGATAATCAACTACCGTTACGCATTGCGCGCTTGAAAGCTAAAACGGGAAAGGTCTGTTCGTCATGCGAAGTGTGTGGAAGCAAAATGCCTGGGTATGAGATTGGCGAGACACATCAAATCACGACATCCAAAATACGGCGAACTATGACACACCAAAACCAGGCTTTAGAGAGACACTCCATGCCTTACCGCGAGAAAAAGCCAATTATGTGCTTTTAATGAAACGCTTGATGCCAATGACACTAATAGGCCCCTGGATGTTGTTTAATTGAGCCACGCCCAATATCAGCTACGGTACCTGCACGTCCACAGCGTGGCGTACTCGAATTACCAGTCAGGCAAATGTAACAAACGCCGTGTCTATTTTCTGAATGCATTTCACGTCTGTTGGCTTCGATAATGGTTTTACAACATGCAGGTCTGTCGTTTTAACAAGCCCGTTCTGGTGTTCTTCTCTGTCATATTGTTAATTTTTCCTTCGTAACGTACAGTATCACTCAAAAAGACAACCTCGGGGATTTCAACGGCAAGAAATGGAGGGAACAAAGTGTACTTCTAGACACGCAAACATCAATTGGTAATCCGCATGGGGCTAGATCGCTCAAAGAAACAGATAAGTCTGTGTAAGTAATGACACAAATCTTGGTTAAAACGTAACAAGTTTTGAAAACTTTACATCGTCGAATTATATAAATGTTACAATATACTTCGCAAGGTTAGTTATTCACCACACATGTGCTAGACGGCTCTAGTCCGGTTTATATGGTTCGTCTGTCATCGGTTTTGCCAGTAATACAATTATTCTACAAAGCTAAGTTTAGAATACCGGTTGAGCTATACTTTGTGTGTACCTATTGCATGTACGGGAGTGAAACACGATGTTCCTCGGAGTGGGTATAACTATGTATAGGAAGTCTGTTGGGTTATTGAATCAATTTTACAGTGATGTTTACTAACTTGACACATCTACTGTAATCATAATAGAGTGGTGTGAATTTCATCGACTACCTAAGATTTGTGAACCGAACTTTGACGCTTCAGAGTCAGTTCGTCCAAGACTATAGTTTGTGAAAAATCTTTTCAAATAACTTTCGGGTTAAGAACCTCGCCATCACCACAGTCAAAATTCTGTTTATATTTTGTACAGGTAGCCTGGCTTCCCACGTTAACCTAACATTCAGCTAGGCCAAGTTTATCATGTCATTTTGCCGTGACGCACTACATGAACGAGGCTCATTCTCATTGCGGCCATAATAACGAAAATTCAGTCAAAGCAGAAAGTCATGTATCGTTTATAGTTCGTCTACTGTCTCACGTCTATTAGTTTGTATTCACATCATTACGAATCTCCTTGATAAATGAATGATTTCACAATAAAAGGATTACGCTACTGTATATTTCGAAGTTTCAAACAACGGGCTCTCGTGCGGTCGCTTTTGCTAGTGAAATATGAGATATTTTATGGCTTTGTTTCGAAGGATCATCCTCTATTTTGTCACGATTTCTTGACACATAATGTCTACGTTCACCGCCAGTTTCCGTCAGTTTACTACCGAGCTAACAAAGAAAGCAACTCAAACTGCGTTGGCGTTTTGCGTCGTTCAGGTTTTGCGCGCCGATGCGTAGCAAAATTAGATACATTTTAAGTGATAGCACTAATGGGCTTCGCGATCTTAGCTTATTATGCTTTCGAATTTCGAGTTTAACTCATTCATTGTGAGAATTGAACTATTCTTGTGAGTTGTTATGATTCTCTCCCGGAATATTCAGAGAGTTTTGCAAATGCGATGTATCACTGTAGTCAGTAGTTATGGGTTGTTTGGTTGACAATTTTTTGTTTCTTATGTTGTTCAGTTAAGCGCGATTATTGGGTGCAGTCAACCGGCCAACTACCCTTGGCATTGCATGGCCATATCAATCAACCTAAGGAAATAAAACTTCGTATATAAAATATCAAGAAAAGATTTCTTTAATAGCGCATATTTTATGTTTATATACAAAGCAGCTCAGATATTTGTGTCAAGTAAGGATTAACTTAAACTGCTTTTAAGAAAATACTTGGCTGTTGTAACATCCTAGCCATATAGGCAATGCAGCTATACACCACTTATTTGCATGTCAGCGTAAAATGTGGTGAAGCTTAGCGGGAAAGCGATTGTGTCTCGCAAAAGAGAAATCGACACGAGGTTCGCCAAGCAAAGACGTCTTATAACACAACGGTATTCACTAGTTTGTTGGCAATGCGCCTATACGCGCCCCACTAAGTATTTAGGTCAACAAAATTGTCAGCGTCTGTTGTCAAAACGTTAACTTCTATCAAACGAGTTACAGATGCTTTCTTTAATAAAGTCTAATTCATCTGTACAATGCATTGTTTAAACGCAATAGTTTTTTATTTCTTGACATTTATCAAAAGAAATAGATCGAGGTATAAATTGCAGGTGTACAAACCGGCTTGTTTTTTAAAGGAAAGAAGAAAGAAAACTCTTTTAGGGTCAAGGCGGAAATTTCAAATCCACTTCATAAAGAGTTGCTGAGTCGTATCAGAAACAACAGCTGTGTTTTAATAAAAAAGGTGGTAACAAAACACGGTTACTGGAGTGAATGTAATGCACCCCCCTTGCATAGTCAAGGAAAGGAGTTTACGACTCCCCCCGTCATTGTGGGTGAGCCAATCTCTAGTCTCAACTCTCTAACACAGGTGTATATCTTTATAGCAAGGTTTCATCGACGACATGCGCTCCGGGGAAAACTGCTATCGACGTTGCAGCTGTGGTTTGCGGAGACCGTTCGAAGGAAATAATGAACATGGTGAAGTCTGTTCTGATTTTTACCAATCATCAAGTGCACTTCCACATCGTCTCGGAGCGTGATTTGCAGGAGGGAATAAAGAGATCATTTGACAAGTTTCCTTCCAATGTGAAGGAACATTTTGGTTTTACATTGTATAATTTATCATACCCTCCTGGGGAGAATATTGCAACCTGGAAAAATCTCTTCAAAACTTGTGCTTCGCAGAGGCTGTTTCTAATGGTAATTCCATGCACGCATTTTTTTAAACTAGACAAGCGAATCATATATTTTGCTTGCGTTAAAGTTTACTGCATTCACTTCTCGTAGGACCCACAGGGGTCAGTTGTATAAGAGGTTATATAGTTAACGTCTAACTGGAGTTAAGGACAGAATTGGCCAATCACAGTCGTGTATTTCTGACACCGTTAACTAGGATTCAACTATGGAAAGTGTAGTTAAAGAATTTTATACAACCAGTCCCTGTTTGGACTAAATTTCTGTCTGGACTTTTTCAAAGGCAATTCAAACCGTTTAAAAGATTTTGTGACCAATTTTACCTCGAATATTTTCATCGAATTCTT